ATATATATATATATATATGTATACTAACTATGCGTTTTTAAGTGACACGTATGCTCGCTATATAAAGACAATATATACACAAATATTTCCATAGGATGTTTCCAATGCGTCATTGAACATTGTCATATAATAATGTGACAGCAATACAAGTGTATGTGTAAATTTATATGTATGTAGGTATGTAGCGTAGGAGGGTTTGGCAAAATCAAAAAACTCTTTGCTTATTGGATTCTCTTTTTTATTTCTTAGTCTATTCGGAATGTTGTTCAGTGTTCTAGATATCATCCCATGAAATGTCTCTTGTACATTTCAATTGTATAAACATAACTTACCACCAGGACGGAAATTGGAATGACCAAACGTCACTAGCGATGATACCCTATTTAGAGTATTTAATTAATAATTGTTCCTGACCCTGCATGCTCATGCGGGGCCTACGAGGATCTAAACCATATCTTCTTCTCCTGTCCCTCAATTGACCACGATACTTTCATATCCGAACTCCTAGCAATCAGTGTCCCACTCCCCACCTCCATAAAAAGTTTATTGTATTTATGTAACAAAGATGTTTAAAATATACTGGCCCTATTTATCGAAAATAACAATATCAAGGTTTAATATGTATGCCTATATATAATAGCTACCCACCTACCCAACCTACCATATCCTTTATCATCCAAATTCCGTACCTCTTCCATAATCTGTAATTCTGCTTTCCCAACCTTTCATTGGCTAAATGCAAAGGCAAAGCCATTAATACTAAAAAAAAACATTTTTAATTTTGTTGTTTTTATTTGTTCGAGAGAAAAATCGAAAAATAGAGAAAATCTTTCTGTCGGCTGTTTTTGTGTAATTGTGTTTTAAAAAATTTCTCCTACCCTTTGAAGCTCTTTCTTTATTATCTTCTAAATGTTGCTTGAATACTCATGTTTATGTGAACTATAGTGACTAACTAGTCTAGTACGTGAATTTTGCTAAAATCCATTAAATATAATAAATAAATAAGTGACATCTCATCCCATTAATCATAAGGTGTTGAACTGTTTGTTGAAATAATTGAAGTATGAAACTTCTTGGGTTCTCTAGGTGAGAACCTGAGAAGCAAGTTCAGGAACAGAATAGGTAGGTTCCATTGCACTTTACTGAATCTATGTGAAACCAAAACAAGTCGATAGCAGTATACAAAACTGGTGTTTCTTTGACTGGAGATGTTCTTTTGTAGCTAAGTACATAATTGGATTGTTATAAACCTATAACTTTTGATATTTATTTTTTCGTTATTGATACAAGGATTTATAGAAGTAGTTTGACTTTGTGAAGTATTTAGAAAAAGTATCAAGAGGGTTGGCTTCGTGGCACAGTTTACCCCACATTGGTACTTGAATCTTTTATAATATTCATAAATATCGTGTTTAGTTAGTTAGTGTAGTTCGTGTTTTATATTACTTTCCTCCTGAATGAGAAGAATAGGTCCATATAAAATTTTCATGCCTGTACCTATCGGCTGAAAATCTGTTCGTCATCCAGTACATCCAAGATACCTCAGATATCTTTTGGGGTCCCCTTACACCACGTCAATCACCTTAGTTCTCCACATAATTAGTCATAAAGGCCTCAAAATCGTCCATTTTTAAAATAATTAAAAAAAACCACTCTGGGGCGTGGTTGGTTCAGCAAGTGTCCATTGCTGTTCAGCGAGGCAATGATGCCAGTATAATGGGAACGTTTGAGCCGGACACGATACGGGGCGGGATTTTCTTTTTAGGTTAAATTAGTTTTTAAGTTAAAAATCTCTTGCAAAGCCTAGTTTTTTTTTAGTACCTATCGACGAAGCCCAGTGCTGATCTTTAACTAACTTAAAATAATACAATTTATAAACAAAAAAAAATGGTAGGTAAATACGTAAAATAAAAAAATGTCAGAAGAACTCAAGAGAAAATGCAAATAACACAGTGATAAAAATGTTAAAATATTCCCAAGTCAGACTTAAGACAGCTAAAGACTGCTTTTATACAAGTGCGACTTAACTCGATCCTGAGACCGAGTTAAGATTCAGCCGAGACATAAATAGTTCAACAAAAAGGATCCAATGCACATCCAGTCACTTTCGAGATAATATGGCAGTTTGAAGTTTAAAAGTGTTTCTCAGTCTTGTTTTCAAAATGTATTATGTCAAGTAACTGCAGAGATACTTATTTATGTTTACATGTTGGATTCTTTTTGCTGATCTAAGAGGTTAGAATTTAGGAACCGTTTGGTACATATAACTAATTTTTTGATAATTTTGTGGATTGGATCCTTTTTGCTTAACTACTTCCTTATTAACTGGAGTCGTACTTGAGATTTTTTTTTTTTATGCTTAAGTCAGACTTACACACCGTCACTATAGTGACGTTTGCATAGTAAACCGATTTCATTTTCATATAGACCTATTTTTTTATACCTATTTCATTTTTATGTAATTTGAAAGAAATGGTATATCTTTGCAATTTAGCGCAATTTAATAATATTAAGAATCGGAATGAGCGAATTTTGGATTTGGTTCTATCGAATGTCGTTGGCGGTTTGAGAGTGGAAGAGGCTATATACCTCTACTAAAGCTTGATAAACATCACCCTAGTTTATTTATTTCACTTGATAGCTATAAGCAAAAAAAATATTATCTACAAGCTAATAATGCTTCATTGAAACCTAACTTTCATAAATGCAATTACGTTAAGCTTAGAGCTCAAATTGGAACTGTTGATTGGTATGAACTTTTAAATAATATGGACACAAATGAGGCGTTGGAACGCTTTTATCAGGCACTACAAAAGGCAATTTTATTATTTACTCCATTAAAAAAATGTACTTCTTCAAACCTTCCACATTGGTATAGTCATACACTTCGACGCTGTTTACGCGAGAAATTAAAATATCACATATATTTTAAATGTATGGCAATAAAAGAGATTATGACAAATCATTCTTGAGATCAGTTTGTGATAGGTTCGGTTTACTACGAAGTCTGCAATCGCATGCCAATAGGGTTGAGTATTTTAAGGTGCCGTTATTAGAAAAAAGGCGAGATTTTAATGAACTCATTTACTTACATAAAATCTTACATTCTATGGTGGATTGTGCCGAGCTTTTAAGCCAATTTAATTTTTTAATTAAGCTTCAGGGTGCCGAGAATTTTTCGTCTAAATGTATATAAAAATAATACCTCTTTCTATAACCCAATAGTGAAATTTGCCGAACTTATTGCTCATCTCGACATTTTTAATTCGAAAATTAATTCATTCAAGTCGCAATCACGTGTATCGCTTGATTTTTGGCTTTTGATAATTTGTGTTCTGTTGTATTGTTATTACTATTATTTTGTACTATTTAAACAAATCACTTTGTAAATTTATTTATTAATTCCTTTTTTTTTATTAATTTCTTCGTTTTTGATTTGGAGATTGTAATTTTACACTAACCTAATACTAAGACTAATTTTATCATGCTGTGTACACTGTTTTTGCAATGTGGTCTAGGCTATTAATGTATCAAACCGTATCTGTTACCATGTGATGATTACATTCTGTTTGTGTACCTTTAAAATAAAATAAAAAATAGATAATAAACAAAAGTACTTTTTACTTGATTTATCTCACTCATTCGATAATTTGAAATAGAGTATCATTGCGTAACCTTAAAAAATGACCATAAAAAATTATTGTAACAAATTGCTTGATCTATTAAAATTCCAAACATATCGATGCCTTACTTTCTCAAACTCGTATCTTAAAAAGAGTGATTATTCAGGAGATGGCAAATCTTTATGTTTATTTTAAATTTCTTATCAAGGGTGTTAATTTGGATACATTACTTTAAGAATAGGTAAACGCCAGTGTGTAAAATGAAGGAAATGTCATGTGAAATCAGCATGCAAAACTTGCATATACATTTTTTGCATTATTTAGAAAGCAAGGCTACAAAATGCCAAACTGCCTCCGTGGCCGAACGGTTACCATGCTGGTCTGCTTGTTATACCTACATTTATTTATCTCGTGAGTTTGAGAGTAATTTGTGGTTGTCTATATGTGTGTCCATGGCACCCGTGACACACGGTTTCCCTAGTGCGGGGTTAGGAGTGTGTGCGTTATTTATTTCAATTATCAAATATTTTTTAAAACATCAAACGATTTATATTCAACAATTGTTTTATTATAATATCAATGAATTTCTGATCAAAAATTCCTAACCCAGAGGAACAGTCTACTCTTACTCTCTTCCCTTCTACTTTGTTGAGCCGGAAAGGGTCCATGATGTGATTCTTTTGATGTGTAACACCTTGTACATCATATCATTGTGGAATGCAAATGAAGAATATTGAATATACCTAAAACGTTAAGTTTTAGTAACGTAACGTAAACGTAAAAGTTTACGTTACGTTATTTGCAGTAAGTAAAATTATTTGTGAAACTCAATAGCTCCGACGCTTTATTTTTAAAGCCCCGCACTAGGGTAACCCTGTATCGCGAGTGCTATGAACACACACATATACAAACAAAAAATTACACCCAAGCTAACGAGGGAAATAAATTTAAGTCATACAAATATTTCTCTCGGCCCGGGAATCGAACACGGACCTTCAGCGTGACAGTCCAGCATGGTAACCGTTCGGCCACAGAGGCAATTAAAGGAAGCTTGAATTATAAATAATAAATACTACTGTAGCTTATAAGTAATTTCAGTTTTGTCATATGTCTATGTCTTGTCTAAGAGCCCTGATGAGATCCTTGTAGAGATTTATATGTTCTTGGCTTATCAGGAATTGTTTCAAAGATATACTACTATATAATGATACACGGTAGCGACGACATTCCGAACTTCTCCGCAAAAATGTATGTGCACAAACAATTTTCCCCACATGTTCATTGTTTCTTTGTTATAAGATGCACTTTTTTAGACATTTTTTAGACATTTAAACAGTATAAATTTACCAGACAAATAGTGCGACCTCTCGTTTTGAGAATTTGGATAGGAGTCACGACGGAAGAACAGACGTAAGAATAGTGAAAGAAAAGGAAATTCGAGACCGATTTGAAAAATTTAAAAGTAAACGGCCAGGAACCAGTAAGAGGGTGATAAAAAGATAAGCTGACGACGAAGGAGGTCAGCTTGATCATAACAGTACTGTACAAACCTGTTTAGTCCTTGCGTCGTAAGGAATAACATACGTAGATCCATCCAGCCTATGAATTCTGCGTCCGGTCATCGGTATCCCGTGGTTGTTGATCATATGGTCCTCGAGCCCTACATCTCTGAGGGCCCTCCGACCTCGGACTGAAAGAGCTAAGTTAATGGACCGCCCCCGGACTTGTGGGGTTTTTCGGATATCTGTATGAAAAAAATATGTTTTATTGTGATTAATACGCGCATAATATCCGAGCGTTGTACCTTTACATATTAGCAAGATGAAAGAAAATGGCGCTGGTTTTATTCAGCTACGTAACTTACTCAAGACTTGTCTCGCCTTTCGATGGAAAAAGTATAAGGGCGTCTATGCACTGCGTCCGGTCCGTATGCGTTCCGAATCCGAGAATATACATCTACAAAACTCTGACCATTTTCGGATTCAAATCCGAGAAAATACATATACAGCTTGTACACCTGGAGATTCACAATTCTGGTGCAGTGTGGTATGCAGCGTTTAACTCGTTCGTTAACCATGCTACCTTTCAATCGCCATCAACTTTTGGCATTCTCATTGTACGAATCTTCGTACCGTATGTACTGTGTCTTCACGCAGGAGAAATAAAGAGTGCTGGGGACTTTTCAGACGAACATTTTATTATAACTAAGACAAGATAGCACGAAAGTTCATAGTCGTTACCGATTTAGTGTACTATACCTGCTAATCCTTACACCCCTCCGTCAATTCGATCGAATCGGATGCAGTGCACAAGCGTTAATACGATTAACACAGTAGTAACTTCGGTGCGCGAAAACAATGACCCGAATTAAAGATATTCTCGACTTCGGAAGACGGTTTTAGTGCGCTATCATATAAATAGTACTACCTATGACCACTTCGGACCGCAATTTCTCGGATTCAGAACTAATATGATCCGACGCAGTGTGCAAACTCCCTTAGGAATTAATCGCACACTTCTCGCCGCACAACACGGTTTTCTTTAAGCTACGCTGTTTGATAATTGTCATTTTTAATAACAATAATCGTGATGTAATGTGGTTGTTTAGAGTTCCTATTTATAGATTTTAGATATACTCGTACCAAGTAACGTCATCGAGTACATAACCAAATGTAACACGTGATAATTGATCTATTACATTGAATAGTAATTAATTTACACGCAATAAATTTGTAAAATTTTCGCATAAATTATAAGACAGTGTTCGGCTTTTTTTATGATAGAGAGAAAATTATTGTAGGTACAAATTGATTTTCATCGATCTACAATCGAATATATATAATTATATATATAAATTCAATATTAATAATGCAAATAAAACGTAACCACAACATTGTTTAACTTGCCTTCGCGTAATTCATATAAACGGACTTGGTGGCCTCTCTTGGCTAAATACAGAGCCTCCAGTGATCCAACCTGTGTAAAACAATTTAGTATATTGAAATCCCACACCATCTGCTTAACGATAATATATCTAGTATATGAAGGCCTAGGTGGCTCAACTCTTTGCATTGTTGGCGCTGGATGTGTATGTAGGTACCAGGTTCGTTTCCCAACAGGATTTTGTAGCAGTGAAGCTTCTTGTAGAGTTCGACCAGAGGCGTATTGCTACCTTGCCTCTTCTGCCGCCAAGCAGTAATGTGAGCATTATTGCGTTCCGCTTTTGTAGAGTAGTGTGCTGGTGAAATTAAGGGCACATGAGACTTGTCAAGTTATGTCTCAAAACTTGAATGCGCAGTTGCATTTCGGAAATAAAATTTTCTAAATTGGGTTTGGTCTGGGTGTTCTGGTTAGTGCCCCATAATGAATTACGTTGCTGTGGGACTCATGGTATTAACAAAAAATTCCCTAGTTTCCGACCAGATCATTAAAAACTCATATTTCTGTAACTATTCCCACAAAGAAAACGTGTTTTTTTTTAAAGAATCAGTTATATAACAAACATACTAAGATGCGCTAAGAAGGATAAAGTATTATTGACGTAAGCGTTTGAAATTTAAGCCAATTTAAAATGTATATTTAAGTTTCATTCCTTTACAGAAAATAAAAACGGTACCTAATGATCTTTGCAACTTACACAACTTTCTATATGCAATGATTTTTTTTTCATAGAAATACTGACATAAAAGTCTCAAACGCTTATTTCCGTCATCAATATTCGATCTAAGTTACGCATTTATTTAAAAAATATTATTCTTCAATCTACTATACAAAAGAGTACTTTAAAAATAAATAAAATTAAAAACTTACCAAACCGCCACCAACGACAACAACGTCCAATTTTTTTTTTGAAACCACACAATTATTTTCCATTATTAAATTACAAGAAATCTTTAAATAATAATTGATATATTATACTGTATTTAAATTGCAATCTAATGTTGACGAGACGTGCACCGTACGTAGGGTACAATAGAACTGAGTACCTTCATAGCATCATTGGTTAACAAATCTCTATATACGTGTGGCGATAATAACTTATCATTCTACATCGGTTCTTTTCGTGCATGCTGTATTAAAATGGTTAATGAATGATAAATGAATGAATGAATGGTTAAGGAATGATTAATTAAATTAACAGTAGAGGAATAAAAATATTTTTCACCTCACTAGCTCGGAAAGGCTTTCTTTCTCATTAGAAATCTGCGCGCAAAAGCGTTTTTTGCACGCTAGCGTGGAAATGGTTTTTGAAATTCGAACTTGACGATGAAATAAAAAGACAATGGCACGTTTAATTAACAGAACTAAAATAATTTCAATAACCACTTAATCACACAAAATAAAAGTACAAGCAAGAATAAACATTGATGCGGTGTAAATTCAGAACGCATTCGAAGATAAACTTTATCTTTTCATCAAAAAAGATTTTTAAATTCAACTGTTTTTCTTTCATCTACCATTTCTCTCGCTATAGTGAAGTGAAAAGTTATGTGTTTCGCTCTTCGTCTCGTGCCTTGAAACCCTCGCTGCGCTCAGAAATCTATATTTGAACCATTCGCTTCACTCGTGGTTAAATCGTGGCTTCCTTCGTTTGCTCAGATTTCAATACAAGCACTCGCGGCAAACAACAAGTTTGCAGCCTTGCATAACATATAACTATTACAATACACAATTTGTAAAGACTAAGTTTTTAAAGAAATCTTTACACTTTTAATACATACATACTATTTACACCTACGTATCATTCATTTTATATACGAGTAGGTATATATAAAGCCAAGTTCTTACTCACTAATAGAAATAGAATGCATACTTCCCGATATGGTGGAAAAAAGATAGGATCTAATAAATATATAAATGAGATGACCTGAATGTGGAAAATATGAAGGAGTGATCAACAGCCTGCAAAAACTATGATATATGGAGGGGATATTTGTGCACTTTTATGAGGTACACCCTGGCCAATTTCGGCCAGATGTAAAAAATGTTCGAAATTCAAATAAACGAGATGGCCACCATACAAATTTTAAGATAGAAGTATCACGAAAACTATTAGAGATAGTTAGGAGGTGCTGGAAGGAATGTCATAAATAGATAGATAGACGGCCATGTAAGCGCTTTTTCGTTAAAACTGATTGCCGAAAAAGACTTAGTCTGATTCTGGTGAAAATTGGCATGCGGAGACCTGTAGGAGTGCCTGACAAAAATTTGTGGTCAAAATTGGTTTTGGTCATTTTCAAATGTGGTCGCCACACAAGCGTTCGTTGGCCGTAGAAAAAAGTTTTCTGCTCCCTTTGAAACTTTGCATGCGGAAACTTCTAGGAATGCCTTATAAAAATTCGTGATCACAATTGGTTTTTCGCCATGTTCAAACATGGCAGTGCCAAACAAACTTTTTTTCGCGGTACATTTTAGAAATATCCTCCAAAAGGCCTAAGTCAGTGATCTTATAAAATATATTACATTAAATGAAAAATTTCAATCTTTACATACTTAATCTATTTCAAAGAAGATGCACTGTAAAATATTTAAAAAATCCGAAGTTTCTTATTGTTCTGTGTTCCAAACATTAAACGGACACTTTTTATAAAAATAATAACATATTATCATGTCATTTGTAAATATTTTTTACTGTAACTCATGGCCTTGGTAAAAGGTTTACAGTCACCGTTTGTTTGTTTACAGTTTTTCTAATTCTAAAAAACGAAGTTCAATGTGAGAGGAGGAATATAATACGACCGTCTCGAATGTTAAGAAACATACACAGTCTTACTTCCCAATATCGATTATTTAGGACATATCAGTAATACGACCCGACTGACACATGAGACAAAGCCACGGTTTAGTATAGGTTTTCACTTTATCACGTAAGTACACTTAGAGCAAAAAAGGTTTCCTTGACTTAAAAATATAGTACTAGTTTAGGTGTAATTAAAATGGACGCATTGAAGACTTCATTGTTTTATTGTCGGTTGACACAAAGCGACTGGTGACTACATAAGACTCTCCTTGTATTGAATCTTAAAAAACGTGTAAGTAAAAACAACCACACACAAAAATAAATGAACATAAAGTTTATTTTCTGTTGTATCTCTTAGTATTTTTACTCTTAAAACTAAACATACTTTTTTCGTCATACGTACAACATTTATACAAATCGCAAAGAAATCTTTAAAAAACTCAAAATCTAGAACAAGAAGAATACGACAGCAGACAGCGACTACAGAATATGTCAGCAATATTTAATATAGATTCAGCAGTAAACAATTTTTCAGGAAAAAAAATGGTACCTTTATTAGATTATACATTAACGAGGGCGAATGGCTACACAAATTGACTGATTCGAATACTGTTCATCTTTTACATCTCGATCGCGAACCATACCAGGCTAGGTATTTGTAAAATACTACAATACCAGCACGCTATGATGGCCGTTGTGATAGATTACAATAGTGAGGTCAAATCTCTATTCATTATCGAAAAAAATAAATCAAATGCGAGTCACTTCTATAAGTTTTTAGATTTTTATAACTAGTATTGCAAGGGGTAGCTGATTAAAAAGTTTTAATGAAACGAAAATAAAAATATTTACTTAATATATCGTCAATTCGAAACTGCTTTGTTTTGCACTAAGCTTCGACGCGAGTTTGCAGGAAGTAGAAGTTGGGCTGGACAGCGATCCTATAAATTACGATCGTAATAAATTTCATTTTTTTAAATTTCGAATTTAGAGAAACAAATGCCGAGTTGTGTCCATAAATTTTACTGCACGTCACTATTGACAACAATGTATAGCAATTTAGCTCCTTCAACGTAGTTATGAATTAATACGATACATGATGAGCAGACAAACCTCAAAACAGCCATCATAGCATGCCGATACTAAGAACCTCACAGGACTATAATATTATTAAAATCATAAATAGCAACGTTACTTCAAGGAAGTAAAAGGTAATAAGTTTACCAAAAATAAACTTCTAAAATTTCGCTGTATTATCTGTACATTATACTATATGAATTGTATACGAATGTAAATCTGATGAATTATAAAAAGTCATAGAACAAAACCTGTTGTTTATGATATTAGTAGTATGATCCTGCGAGATATTTATATTTTCAAATAACCGTGTATAAGGTTCAATTCTGTAGGTGAGAGGTGAAGAACCTCAAATACCAAATAGTGATTTTTACTACGGAGCGTTTTAAAGATAATAGACTCTTAATTAGACATTTAAAATCTTAGGCTCAATTTTTATTACGGCGGAACGGAATGATAGGTATTTTTTGGAACGATACCTATTGTACATAGACTAGTGAACTTTATGGTCAATTGTGTAACGAACAAACTATGAAAATATACCTATATAAGTATGAGCCAAAAATCACATCAAGCATCTTCCGCGGAGTTCTCGCGTCGGCAACGCCTGGTAAATCCGCGGGAAGTGGCGCGAAGGCAGAAGCAATGTGACGTCAAACGTCGACGAAATACTACAGACTCAAGGCGCAGTTGCGAGAAAACTCGCGAATGCTCAAGATTAACGCTTCCGTAACGCCGTAATGTAACTTGAGCCTTAAGGTCAAATATATGTTAAATAAAAAACATACGACGATAGGACATAATGTCTGTTAAAAATGGTTAAAATTTTAACACACTAAAGTAATATTTGTAAAAACATTTCAATTCCGATATGGACCTTTAATGTCCTTTGCCTTTCACCTGCAGAATTTAACGGCAGATATGTTCTTTTATGGGCAAATTCAGTGCAAATCCTTAAAAAAACCATAGAGACCAAGGTTTTTGTCCGTATAGCCCACACTGGAAATGTGTGCCATAACTAACGTCTTTAAGAGCATTAGTTTTCGTTACAATAACTACATACTTGCTAAAGTACAACTTACGGTGTAAAAAAGGTTGAAAATTAATACAAATATTGATATAAAACTACGTTTGTGTTTCTGTTAAACATCTGAAAAATATGTGCCACGGCGATTTCACACCGATCACACGCCGATTACGCCAGCACCGACGATTTTACGATCGGCGCACATGCCAAGCTTTTAATTTTTTTTTTGCCGAACATAACAGGTCATGCCTATTGAATTTTGTGCCACTCAGCCTTATTGCCAGTTCTTCTGATATTATCTATCTTTATCTAAATAGACCATCAGGCCTATATTTCGTCTTCCCAATCGAAACAATAACAAAGTTGCATCCAATGCATAGGAATTTAAATTACGTGTACCACCTGGACTGCGCACTTCGTGGACTTTATCACATCCTTGTTAGTTCGCAACCCTAATTCGTCAAAAAGAAAGAAGATAATTTTTTAATGTGTGAACACGTTCTTCAAAAATATTCTCAGTCATTTGACTAGATATCATCGACACTGTTTTGCTGCTAAACGTATAAATAAATGCTAATCTAGAAACTCATATTAGATTGCATAGTCGACATATCTTCAGAGGGACTTTGGCTGGAGCTGAACGAACTAAGAGTCTCTCGAGTCTCTTCCTTAATTTTCAAATGATCAGTACTAGACGCCGGTCGTGGTGGCAGAGATCTATCTTTGTCTTTGAAAGACTTGTCTTTACTGCTATGTTTATGCTTGTGCTTATGTTTGTGCTTCTTCTTTTCCTTCTTCTTCTTTTTGGCCTGAAAATTTTACGCTTTTATTGATACGTCGTTGTTGCACTACGATCGCGTTTGATTTAAAAATAACTTCAAGAGCAGATGGTATAAACTAACCCAAAATCGGGTGAGCCGTTACGACTTAAAAAAGAATAAACCAAATATTCCTTAACTTATAAATCGTCGGTATTTTATGGGAAGCGCCATTTCCGAAAATTTTTTCGAAGAGTATGTTTTAGGTTTTAAAGACTCTTTTAAAATATTTACGTCACGTTTTAATAATTAATTTTGGTTTTAATTAAGTTTTAAAATAGAATTTAAAACAGGGGTAAATATTTTAAAACAAACATTTTAAAAAACAGGTACGTGCGAAAAATATTTATTCGTATGTGAGCGCGTTTATTCCCGTTTCCAAATGTTAGTACGATGCAACACGAAAGTTTAAAAGAGTATATTTTGAAACAATAGTGAAAAGCTAAAACATTCTACCCTGAAAATTATTCAAAATGGTGCTCTCGCCCTTTGTACAAAACAGCGACGAAATGTTTCATAATACGAACGAACTAAAATTATTTAGCCTTGTAGGTTTCAGTATAATAAGGCTGCTTGTAAATTCTGACCAAACATTAGTCCTATTTTCCTACAATCAGAGAAGAAAATTAATAAATATCAAATTGCAAAGTGAACAGTGCATTTCGTGCCGGGTGACTAACAGAATGTAATTGGGTAATTCAAGTATACATTAGAAATGTATATGTGTATGACAACTATACAGATATGTGTTATTTATTCAAATGTCATTATATATTTTAAGTTACAAATTTTTTCTCAAAGTTTTCCGCCGCACATGGACTAAAACGGTTTTATATCATCACCCCTTGCTCCAAACATTTTCAGTATTACATAATTTTTTGTTCAAAGAAAAGATTTTTCTTATTACATATTACGTAAGAAACACTAATTAGTCTGCTGAGCAATCACTAAGTGCACTCACCTTCGGTCCACTCAAGTCCAGTTCCTTGTCATGCCTGAACATGCCCGGTTCGAAGCCAATAGGCCCTGACGTTCCTGGGATACCTGGCAACGGCGCCGCGTTGTCCGAGATGAATTCCCTTTTTGAGTCATCCTGTGTCAAAACATATTTGTACAGGTACAAAATTGTTTAAAACAAGTGGACGTGTAAATAACACAATAAAGTAATATCAACATGATAATTGGTATAATATTAGTCCCTTTATGCCAACACTAATTTTATAGCAAGAAATCGTATTACATGGACACACTGACTAGTAATTTTTTCTCTAATTGTAGAGTCGGTTTTTTTAGTACTAAAAAACCGACCTCAAAAGTTCGTGGGATTACATTTATTTGTCAAGTTTGATTGAAATCGGTTACCGGAAAGTGCACGAAAACGGTTTCAACTCCTAGTTTGACACCCTTAGACGCGGAATATTTTCTTCAAATCTCAATGGGACTACTACTGAGGTACCCTCTTTCCAACAAAAGAAGAATCATCCAAATCGGGTTTTCCAAATTCACAAGTCGAGTTATCACGTAACATACATACAAAAAAAACATACAGACAAATTAAAAAACTCCACTTTTTTTTATAAGTCGGTTAAAAATCAGGACTGAACGATTCTTCGATGATTTAAATCCGGAAAAATAGTTTCATTTCCTATCTGTACGATTCTACTTTTGATATTAATGTTGTTGACAATTTACTAAGCCTCCGTATAAAAACATGGCTACTCACACTGTAGACTCGAATAGGCATATCCTGAACAGAAGTGACGTCAATCTTGATTTCCTCCTCTTTTATACTGGAAACAGGCACAGGTAAATTGTCATCTTTGAGATCTGGTATCAGGGGCACCGGCGGCAACTCTTCTAGAGGGCCTATTTCTGGCTCGTATTTTACCTAGAAAATTAACACAAATATTAAAACATTATCTACCACCATACACCACAGTCATAGGTCTGGCGATAACAGTAAAGCAAACCGAAAATCATCGTATTTTTTAACAATTGTAAAAATACGTTGTCCTCTCACAGAGCTATCGGAATTTATGAGCGAAATTTAATTTGAAATTTACCATGATTTTATCGAAGAACAAAACAACTTCATTACGTGTATGAAATTCCATTCAAACTACAGCTAAAGCCCTCTCATTGTGAGTAGGGGCATGTGCCATGACTATATAGGACAATTATTATAATTATAACAATTGTACATACAAAAAAAATGCCTTTTAGTACCCTTGATAGGATTTCTCATTTCGTCATAAAGTAATGGTCGCAGGGCACGGCTACCCTAAATCCACTCGTGAAGCCATACGCTACATAGCCAGCCTACTGGCTTACAAACATAATAAAAACAAGCAAATGTATATAACAGACAGCTATCTGTCATATAATATCTGTATGTGAGAGATAAAGAACCGTAAGTGCCAAATAGTCATTTTTCTACAGAACGTGTTAAAGAGAATGAGGCTCTTAACTAGGCACTTAATATCAATCTTAATGTCAAATAAAATAAGTTAAACAAAAACAAACGACGATAGGACTTAATGTCTTTTACCAATACTTGATTTTTAGCATTCCAAAGCAAGTTTTGTAAAAATATCAAAATTCCTAAATATGGACTTAAGGTTCTTTACCTTCCACCTACAGATATATGGGAACTGTTATCCCAAACAACAAGGTAGCGTGTCTCTATTATGCGCAATAAGGCGACAGTCTCCTGATTCGTACTGTAATGAATCCGTATTATCATAATAAATATTAAAGCTGTGAGTACTATTGGGACATTGCTAAATTAAAAAATATCTTTGTTCAATTTTTTTAAATTTTTAATTAACGGGACGAACAAGTGCGCCTGAAGGTAAGATACACGCTAGTCCATAACAGTTGCAGTGCCACTCAGAGCTTTAAAACACAAAGATCTGAGGAGCACTGCCACTGCGCCCGTCAACCTGAGACATAAGTTGACAAGTCCCATTTGCCTAATTTCACCAGCACCCTTACCCTTCAAAACTGGAACACAGTAATGCTGACATTACTACTTGGCGGCAGAAATAGGTAAGGTGGCAGTACTTCCCTGGACGAACTCTTTCACAAGGAACTCTATTGCTATTATACATGTTTAAAGAACTATAAATATTTAAATTTAAATAATTACGTTTAAGCGATAAAACCGATAGCAACTCTGCCAAGATCGATAACATTTCAGGCGGCTGCATTTTGTGGCCAGTGTGTTCTAGCTGTAGGTAGACCTGTCAGACGCAACATCTTCACTCAAACGATGTGTAACTATTCTCATAGCAATCACTAATGGGCACATTTAAAAAAGCATTATACTCACATCCTCAATCTCCTGCTTAATAACGGGTTGTGACTCCAATTCCTTCTGTCTCTCTTTCTCTTTCTGCAACTCCCTCTCCCTTTCCAATCTCTCGCGTTCCTTATTGTGCATCTGTTTCATCATAGCCTGTATTTCAGGTAACGGAACGCATATTGGTCTTTTCAGTCCGTATAACGTGTAGTAGAGATCAACGAGATCGCATCTCAGTCTTGCGTCGTTTGCTAGATGGCTGTTTATGTTGTTCCATAGCCTATGGAAAAGTCATAATATAAAATACCAAAGTTTGCCAAAGAGCGAAGGGATGCAGCATATTAGGTGTAAAGAGGTCCGCTAAAATTTAAAACAGTATTCTGCGCTCGAAGACAGTCATATCCGATGTTGGGAAATGGATTGCCAATCAGAAATGGATCTGGGCTGGACACGTCTTCGCATGCACCGTCAGAGATAAACTCACACAGTCACCTGGTGGGTTTTTTTAATGATAACAAGGGACGGGACAAACAAGTCTTACCTTTAGTGGTAGTGTTACGCTTGTTCATTCATAACTCTACTACTATTAAAATGTGAAACAAGGGCTAAAATATAATACACAGAAAAGCCAATATATGGTATTTGGGAGCAGACGTAAGTGTAACTCTTGGTTACCTCACCTTGTACTTAACGGTATAGACCTTCAAATGGTAAATCAATTTAAATATTTATTTTATGTTATTTTATAGATAAGGTACATCAACAGTAGTACATATACTCTTAGATAACAGTGTAGCTTTACATTAGGATTGTACTTACATGTCTACCTATTACAGACGTATACAGCATTTAATGTAATAAAATAATAATAAGCAACAAAGAGAACAACAAATAACTTATGAAACTAGTGGGGAAACGATTCGAGAATATTATTTTTGAAAACATTACAGGAAGAATCAAAAATGTCTGTATCTATTCGAACGCTAAATGACGCCGAACAAGACTATTAGAAAGTATAGTTTTTGTTTTCACTGATTTGTAATATTTAGAGCATATATTTGCACCTGATCTTAAAAATGTCAGAAATGACAGCGGTATGGAAAGGGAACGTCGAACTCTGTCAGTCTAGGCGAATATGATCGCACGCAGATTCGCAAGATGTTCGGGAGAGGTGAAGATAACACTCTTCAGAGCGTACTGTCCCTCCCTATATACATGCAGTCTATGGTGAGAGCATACGAACAAAGCTTCCGGGGCCCTACGGACTGAATATAATAACGCGTACCAGGTGTGAATGTATTTGCCCCGTATCTGTAGCGCATCAGGGATGTTATTATCTATTTTAGACTCTTGCCTCTACCATGGCCTAATAGATAAATTTTGAATTTTTAAATGGGAGAGGCGGTATTCCCGGCAATGACACAGTCGGCCGGGGTCAGGGAATCAGGTTCAAGAACCGACGAATAATACGTGCCGGAAGCGACACGCCACAGAAATCCAACCGCCTCAAGCTGGTAGCGAGGCTGACTGGAATTGACCCGTTTGCGAACAATACAATTGGGATTATTTCAGTGGAGGCCACATCACACATGTCGTGATCTTGTATGGTAAGGGGATGGTAACGTCCACAGGAAATAACCTTGACTGCGATCGATCCAATATCATAATATCAGGCTTATTCGCAAGAATAGTCCTGTCTGTGATAATAGAACGGTCTCCATAGATTTTGGTGCGATCATCTTCGTGTATTGGTTCCAGTGAATACTTGTAATAAGGCATCCTCTGTTACACGAGTTATTATATAAAACCTTCGGTTTGACGTGGAATGAGCGTATTGCGGAAATTACGAAATCAAACAACTCAATATTTGATTATAAGATAATGCAAAGATAGTATTTTTATTGTAGTATTCACAAGCTTACAATTCCACGCTTTATACGCAATATTTACCTTAAAGTCGTGATATGAAATGAAAAGAGACAAATATGTTATTATGTTCCAATAATTACCGGAATAATACTTACAATAACGTTATCTAACTAGAGGTTAAACGAACATAATTATGTTCCTATTATTGAAGTTCTGTAGCAATTATACGAAGGCTTCATCCGAAGCGATTAGTATATGGGATACTTGTAGTAACGCGTGGTACAATACCTTACTAATCGAATCTTAAAACGCGAATACAAGAAATGTCTTGTGTTCAGAACTCTTCGATATTTTATCCGAATCGTTCGATTGTATAACGTTCTCAAATCGAAGAACGCTTTTCGAGCTATTCAGAACATTCCAAGTTAAACGTTCGATAAACAGCGTTTACGGAGTTATATAGTATAGTATAGTCGGTGAAATAGATTATAAGAAAAATGAAAATCATTTTACACACATTTTTAAGACTTTAAAAGCCTAGAATATAGGAATGCATTAAAATAAATTAATAAAATTGAACAAAATCTAGATTGCATTTAAAATAAAGATAGAGAGAGAGAAGATATTTCCATATTACATTCCTGCTCTGTAAACAATAGGACGTTCGGTAACTTTCATTCGATACTGTGTTATTCAGAACACCCGTTTCTAGCCTTTGCCGGTCGAGAAGTTCAAGTAATCGAACGGGTATGACGTCATTTCGGTCCAGTTTCGAATACGACAGTTTGGCGTTCGATTCGGGTGTTGTGAATAAAAATGAAAAAAAATCGGTCGACAACTGAGTTATCGTAAGGTTCTATATCGACCCCATGGTATGTCTCGCAAGTTAGACATAATATGTAACTTGAAGATGGGATACTTGAAGTTCGACGATTTTAAGCACATGAAGAATACTTTATTGATTAGATTGGGTTAATTACTACTTAATTAATTGTTATTCAATTTTTTTTAATTTAATGTATTTTTTTCAATATCTGTATATTTTAGTGACATATTATGTGAGTGTGTGTGATCGTTCACCAATTGGCACTGGCAGAATAACAGCGCTGTCATGTGTGCGCTGTAATTTGCCACATTTCTTCTGTACCACTGCCTCATATGCTTGAGCATATGCGACAGTGGTACAGTGTAGTGGTACGGTAATAAAATAATGTAGCATAAGTTATTCATGGTAGTCCCTTTAACCAGCTAAACAACTAATAAAATTGATTGCCATGATCTTAGACGGCAATTGTCTACTTTGCATTGACACTCGACCATACTTTTGAATAGTTGCTTTATTCATTACATATACTTAATAAATAGGGGAAGGTTGCTATCATTGGACCACTTAACTTCGTGTTCTAATATCATGAAAAAAAATGTTCCAAATGGAACCACTTACTTTATTTATAATTCTAGAGACCTTTATTATTTGTAACTGTTATCAAAAAGCAATCTTTTACATTTTTTTTAAGATAAACATCAAATAAACCTATTTCAGTGGTTGCCTTATTTGGACCACAATCTAATTGGTTGGACCTTTGAGTTGCCATGGATGGACTTCGTGCATTTTTAGAACAAGTCCAAAGAAGGAGTCTTTTAAAAATTAAACAATAGTAGTTAACTAAAATAATAACAAAAAGAACACACAATTTTATCATGAGCATAACGCTTACCAGCTTTATATTTGGAATTAAATACTCACAACTTCTATATTTTTAAATGACCAAGTAGATGCCTCTGTTTTACAACATTAAACATTACTTAGTTATAATTATATCACATTTGGCACGTTACGTATCAGAGATCAATAAATTACAAATCCAGGCTCAGGCCAAATTCATAGTAATACAGTAATTTTCTTACGCAAGCGAAAATGAAATAAAACTTTTATGTTCTTTTGATTAGAACATTTAAAACAACGTATTAAAAATCATCCTTATATCACTTTTTTGTTCTTATTTTTATGCAGCTGCACTGGGCTTTTTAGCCTATGCTTTTTAGAACGATTTATAAACTCGTGATGTGACCAATTTTGAAAATAAGTATGCGGTCCAATAAAAGCGTCCTCGGTCAATTCCACAAATTCCACAAACGATTCCATAATGTTTGTTTAGAAATTATATCTAACCCCGCAAATTAATTGGGGTAATCTCGAGATAATTAAAAAAATGAAATGTTTCCAAGTATTACTTAGGCTGACAGTCAATTCGCAAATTAAGCTAAATTATTAAATCTTGTGTTAAGTTACATAAAAATTATAACTTGCTATTTTTGATCGCCATCGCTGACAATCTCTTCACCTCAATGATAACCCGAGTTCAGCCGAATGATAAAACGGTGTTTGTTTTTTTTTCAAATTTTGTGTTGCGTATGTGAACTATCATAGGCACGTTTAGTCACTATCATAATTTCGTTTACGGGTTATTTCGGATACATTAAAGGCAATCACTTTACACTTATTACCCGTATTTACTAGCTGTTATAAATACTTTTTGAAATTGCGAGCAAGTTGTAGAACGGCGAAACAATAGAAAACGAGTGAAACAAAAATTCTGATAACAGTAAGAAATGGTGAGTAAATTCAGCAGTGTCAACGTTTTGATTCGACAGTCTTTATAAATAATTGTAAGGTTTATATTGTACCACTTCACATAACATACATAGTTCATACAACATAGACTTAAAGTCTTGTTATAAATGTTACCCAGTGGCGCATGTTAAAACAAAAACGACAAACAATATACTTGAAAAAGTGTCTACTTAAATTCAACAAACGATACAACAAACAAACGATATTGATATCTGACAGAAGTCTCACTGACAGTCGATCCGTTCGTATTAGGGATTCTCCACATTTACTCACATGGAATCTCCTTGAGCCGGTCAGAAAACCTTTATTTTATGTTGTGGGTGGAGATGCACTAAGAGCGAGAAAGACGTTGCGCGTTTCGCTACCGCTCGGATCGAAAATGCGAAGCGCACAACGTCATTTTCGCTTTTATTACATGGACATAAGGATTCTTCTGACCGCCTTTATGCGATTCCATGTCTATGTGGGGCTCCTTTAAGCATTTTTTATTTTATTCATTTTTTATTTATTAATCTACTCATTGCAACATAAATAGGTTAACAGATTGACACACAGAGTAACAAGTTTTAACATGTAAAGTAATTACACATGTAGCACAGAACGGGATACGATTATACGTCAATACGTATATTGAATCAATATTCAAAAGACATGTAACGCCATCTATTGCACCTAATAAGTATTCATCGTAAAATATGCATGATTATCTCTGTGTTGTTATATTAATTACTCCGTGTTTATTCGAAGAAAACATGTCATCACTGACACAATACCTACGAGATTATTTGAATATTTGTTGTGATAATATATTTATTATTATGGCCACTTACCTATGCACCACAGATTCAGTATCCAGGCGATGTCTCTGCGCTCGCTCAAACGGCGGATTGTTAATAAGCAGTCTCGCTAAGCCATGTCGCACACCAGGGTCTTGATCACTTTCCACTGCCGTTAGCAACGATGCCAAATCTTCTGGCTTTCCATCCACTCGTACGAAGTCTACTAGACATTCAAAAGCAGCGAGTCGCACATCTGTGAATATTAAAATCATTGTACAACTGAGTGGACATATCACTAATATCATAAACGATAAAATTCGAAACGGACATCAGGATTTATGTTACTCTAAAAGAAGAACTAAATTCGGAGGGTACATAATTTAACACCTGGTTAAGATATAAAGTCATACTAGTTTAAAATGAACAAAACATGACATGATAAATAGTGTATGAAATTCTTTCGTAATAAACCTAAAAAAGAGTCAGCGATCGCCTTGAATGCCTAATATGCGGAGAGATGTGTTTTCGAAACCAATTAATAAATCCAAATAACTAAACAGCGTTGAGATGTCAAGATAACGAAATTACATACTCTTTTTGGTAGTGAAATTGGAAATTAAACTTATTTCTTCAAACTAACGTTTCGATCAGCCGCGATCGTAAGACTTATAGAGCCCGAAACATGGGTTTGTTTGAAAAAAAATTTTCATTTCCAATGTGAGACTCGATCCGTTTTTTTTTCGGATGGCATCTAAATCTTCACATGCGGAAGCCTGATCGTACAACATCTGTAGATAATCGAGAAACTTCGAATGAACTGGAGCTTAGACACCTTCTACAGCATAGTTTCCCAGAGTCCCTCCCAAAGGGCGCTAAAGAGCCCTAAGGCGGTAGGGGGCTTCGGAAGCAATTGGGAGGCGTTGTTGCCGTCCAGAGAGTGCTACCGCATTTGAAAAACAGCCTGAATTATCTATAACTACAAATATATAACTTTTATTCTTGTGACTTTTTGTGTTGAGTTAATATAAAAAAATTGTGTTTCCAATTATTATGTGTGTTCAGTTATTTCGCAAATTAAAAATAAAACAATTATAACGCCCACCGCGGGCGTTGACATTTTTTATCATGCCCAAGTGAGCGGCGAGCCAAAAATTTGGGAACCTATGTTCTACAGCGAGACAATATGAACATCTGATACTAATACTACTTACCAATATACATCCCATACTGTGCGTAAGCTCTAAATATCGTGGGTATACTCGGCAAATGGCCGCACTGTTGCAATCGTCGGATTGCGCGTAAACAGCTTACAGTTATCGTATTCTTATAGCAAGGGAGGACTTTCTCCAGATTGAGAACACGGGTGATCTCTTCTAAGACCAGCTTCGTATCCGCTGACAGGGAGTCTGCTGTTATTGGTGCACCCTGTTGGTCAATTTTACGTGTTCAGTATAACGGGCTAGCACGCATTTACGAACTCACACTCACATTACGAACTCACACTCATATATATATTTTTTTTAAAACCAGCGGCAGCGCCACAGTGAATTGCACAAGCTGAATGAAGTCCTTTTGCGTAGGACATAACCACACAAATGACAGTACAATATGTAAGTAGTCGTTATATAATGGGTTTATTTTTGAATTTTTTATTTTGTTTATTAATTATTTTGTTTTGTTTGTCTAAGTGTTCACAATTTTTTTTATACAGGCTGTATATTTGAAAGTGGGATATGTCCTACTTACTACTTACTTATAGAGTACGTTATATTCCTGATTCTGAACTCACAGAAATAATAAACTAATGAACTTAAACTTTACAAAAAATATTTTTTAATTTTTTTTTTATCGATTACTACTTGAGAACAGCATTAGTTATCAAAATCTATGCACATCACTATGCCGTGCTAGACTTTGCATTGTGGAAAACGGTGGACATTTTGAACACTTGCTCCGTACCACGTAAGTGTAAATAAACTATAAATAAGTAAAAAATCAATCATTGTAAATAATTTGATTTCACATTTTTAACTACGCCAAAAACCTCAATTCTTATTAAATGATAACTAGTTACTAAATCATAAACTCATCTTTTTTAGTACATAAAACATTTCGATAATGTTCAAGTAAAAAATAATTAACATAAACTAAAACGTAAATGTGAAATCATTGTTATTGTTGCTGTCTCACTCGGCGGTCGCTTGGTAGTATTCCCATATCACTCGAAATCAAGCGTAAAGGGAAACGGTTTATTCCTATGTACACTTCAAAACACATTTGTTGATTTATTTTTTGTTCTATCCCATATCCTATTTTTATTTTAATCCGTATTAAGTTGTAACATGATTTACTATGATATGTATGAATATGTCTCACTTTCAAATATACAGCCTGTATATGTGCTGTGGCATTGCAATAAATGTCTATTCTATACAAATGCGATTTTACATAGTCCTAATTGCAACTTATTAGAAGTACATTTCCAATAATTTACTTGTTCAGTACAAACACAAACTATCCCAACAATAGATATATTATTAAATGCTGCCAAAATCAAAGTTCATTTATGAAATAACATTCGTTATTTTAGTCATGGCGCATCTACACACGTTGTATTCGTGTGTTTAAATACTAAATATATAAAAGAAAAAAATATTTTACTCACAGGTTGCAAAACAGAAATAACTGGCGTAATGGTAGCAGCCAATGCATCAACCAACGATGCTTTGTAATAGTTGTCGGAGAAGTGGTTCTTCGAGTTGTCATTGTACTTGAATAGATCCAGGAGGAACCTGACCACTTCCGGAGGGCAGATACCGTGAATGTTGCGAAGACCTAGAAGCAGTAAAACATTGATAAATGATCCACAAACGTTCTAGAACTTCGATTGTTAAATGTTCACACAAATACGGTTAAATAAGACCGAGATTAGATTCAAATTATGGTTCCTGCATCAACAAGGTACAAATTATATGGTCATGGACATATTTAAGGGTATGTTAAAAAAGGTTAAAATTATCATGAGAACGTTCATATGAGCCACTGGCCACATATGTCAAAATATTCGAAATTAAAAGTCGATTGATCATTCTTTTTAAAAATGAAACGTTCAGGAATATGTGGTCAGTGATTCCTGAACACTAGAGTTCCTCTAAATGTAACATATTTTTAAATTAAGAAACATCACTGTCGTCAACATCTACCCATGTACTGACAGCAAACTCGGCTCAGTCCCAATTTGTAAGCATTTTTATTTGCAAGCTGAGATAGCCCCGTCTCTTATTTTGCTGAATTTTTACTGTGAAAATCTTTTGTTTATATTACTTTAAGAAATGAAATCAATAACGTCGAATTTTACCACCCAAAAAAATAGTCTAATTCAACGCCATGGTTGGCAAGAACAAACAAGCTGTGGCATGGTCATTGCCTGCACGGACAAATATCCTTTAAAGTGGTCTGTAAGAAGAGGCCGTACATACACCATAGTCCTCTTTAGGTTTATTTATTTATTAATATATATTACCAACAGAATTAGGGCGCGTTCTCATTATGTCGTGACGAAAGATAGTCGTGTAGTTTAAAATGTCGTGACTAGTATATTTAAATGAAGTTGTTCACACATAGAACAATACGATTAACTGTCATTCACGACTTTTTTGACGTTACGACGAAAAATAGTCATGACAATGGGAAGAGCTAGAACGACAGTCGTCTGACGATAAATAAAACTTCACGTTAAAAAATGTGACGACATATAATCGCAGCTTCAAACTATTCTGCCGTGCAAACGACAAGGCGGCTGCCGTAAACCGATAAATTGTTGTCATGATCTAGTGGGAACAGCTAAACACGATAGTCTTTCAACAATACAATAAACGTCCACGACACAGTCACGACAGATAGTCGATGGGTACAGGCTAGACGCGACAGTCGTCTAACGATAAATAAAACGTTACGACATAATGGCAACGCGCCGTTACATATATCAAACAGTATCACGAGATCAGAAAAGATTATCATATCTGTTTGAGAATTATACACAGTTTTGATAAAGTTATGTGTAATTCCGTACCTGAGAAGCATTACACTGTACTTGCTATTTTTGTAATTGTACAGGAGACGCGATTTTGTGTCTAAATTGCAGCATGTACAACATTTAGAATGGCTTGAAATAAAACTAATTAAGTTTTAATAACATTTCGAGCTACCCTAATTGGCGTACAAACTGCTTTTCGACACAAAATCGCTTCCCGTAAAATTTCTAAAATGGCGCTTACAGTGTAATGCTTCTCAGGTACGGAATTATCTGACATGCAGGTTTCATTACGATGTTTTCGTTCACCATTAAAGCAAATGACAATGAATTAAACTGCACATAAAACGAATCTCTCCAGTGAGGCTCCACACCTCAACGTCATAAATAATCCAACCATACTTCTATAACGCGTGCTATCTTCAGAACGAAACATAAAAAATATTTATTCTGTAAAAGAATTACAGCATAGTATCCACGCATTTCGACACATCTTCTGATTTAATACCATTGACCTACCAATAAATGGACGTCGGGTTCGCGCTAAAAAGTCCTGCTGTCCGCACCTGTAGTGCGTTAAAATCGCATGCAGAGCGTCAATCGCGCAACAGTCTTCGTTTAATCAACTGATACCACGGTTGTCAATCATGTAGTACAATATAATAATAACTTGTAAAAATTACTGCTGTAAAGTGTAAAAACGGGATTTTGTATCATATTCTCACTAAACGAATATATTGCATTATCATAGCTATCATTTAAAAGTGTTATTTTGCACAGTTGTACAGTATTTAATTCAAATTTATATATAAATGAAACGTAAAAATAAATTACAAAAAACCCAAAAATAAACAAATAGCTAACTGTCCTTTTTTATCTACACATTGCATGCGCAAAAGATGGAAAGAGACCCATTACGTCAATTTCGGCTTGGGATTACTTATCGGAAGTCAGAAAATACATTTGCCTGAAATAACGTTAGCTCGAATTTTCATAATGTCAAAGGTATTTTCTAGGAAGATTACAAAACAAAAGCTAATTTTGTATTTGTGAAAAGCGTTACGGTTTTATTATAAATCGGTTTTCGGAATTACAGATATTTGAGTTTACGTTTAGTTGGAATATCGGTATATTTCTTATAGTACTTATTTTTATTGTACTAGTACTTATTTTTATTGTACTTATTTACGCTTATTTTCACATTTGTAGTAATATTTGTATGTATGTACCTGCCTAACTCTTTATTATTTCTTTAAGTCAATTTGTACAAAATTCGACATAATAATACATATAAAAATTAATTAATATTTACGATAAAGGCTACTCCATTACTCGTGTTCAAGTAATTTTCAGTCGAATCTAAATATGGTGCATTTTGTTAAGTTTCCAGTAGAAGCTGAATATGTTGTTTTTGGGCCCTTAAATTGTTGCAAGCAAAATTAGGCAGTGCTGCAATGGCGTTACAATTTAAATTAAATGTTTTAGTTTTTTATATTTCGTTACATGTCACTACGTTTGTATAGGTTAACTTCAGACATTTTTTCGTGGTTTTTGTATTAGGCCCGACGTCCGTTTGTTGATAGGTCAATGTTTAATACATAATACTAAAAACAAGAATTGTGAATAAATAATTCGACTGAGTAACTAAAATATATTATACAAATATCTTTATTTCGGAATATTCATCCATAGAGGTTAGTAACAACGCACTTATAAATAGAGTTATTACTATAAATAACAATTTTTTCTAAAACTAATATGCAACCGAGACCAGTGCTCATGAAAAGAACCCTGAACCCTGTTTGCAATTATACTCAGGAGGCTGTTATCGCTGCCACGAACTCTATGCACCATGGAAGCCGCTCTTTTGCGCATGATAGCTGCAAAGCCATCGGCCTTAGCTATGGCGAACATTCCCGATGCACTGCAAAATCATGGCAGCTTCAACAACGTCCTGAATATGTTATTGTACAAAATTCGTAGGGCGCTAAGAGATTTTAGGGTATATTGGACCCAGAAGCTGCAAGTATAAAAAGATTGGCACTGTGCCTTGACTAGGACAATCTTTACATCATCACTACACTTCGCGAACCTACGGGCCAACATGTTGCCTCTGACTGCCAGCGCCCTGTGCTCCCTTTCTAATTTTAAATCGTCTTTTAAAGATTCGGAGACACAGTGCCCCAGATATTTAAATTTTGTGACTCGTTTAAGTGGAGTGCCACCTAGTATAACATCTAGTAGATTATTCCAGGGTTTCTTATCCGCTTTAAAAACCATTAATTCGCTCTTAGTCGCATTGTACTGCAATACATGAGTTTCTGCATATTTAGTACATATACTTATTAATCTACGAAGAGCGCTAATTGAAGGGCTCAGCAACACCATGTCATCTGCATAACTGATGTTGTTCACCGAAATTCCATCTATCGAGCATCCGACCTTGGTATTGCTAAGCTCATCAATTAATCGATTCATAGGGTCGTATTCCAGAACTCTACTCAATACTCAAGTCAGGACTTGAGTTATGTGGGAATTATGTGGGAGTCCCGGCGCCCTGAAAAAGGCGCTGCTCCTGGGTCTGGCATGGACCCAGGGGTGTACCCACTAAACCCCATCGGTTTGCCTCTCGCCGGGTTTGTGTCGGCGCCGTGGGATCATCTCTATTTCACCACGACGCCGCCCGGCCGCCCCGGCCACTAAGCCGGGGCTCCCGCGCCTATGGAGGAGAGGATCGGTTTTCTCCGCCCCTCTCCCCAGACGATTGAGGCCGTGCAATGCGAACAGGGGGAGTAAGGCACTGACCTACCGCAACCCCCAGAGAGGACTTTAAAAATTATTTTTAAACAACTCCGCTGTCCGGACCAGCTCGCTCACATCCTCAATACCGACAGGGAGGTTCGACCTTGGGCTTAATTTCTTAATCTCTTTCCAAAAATCTGAGAATTTTTTACCAGAGTGGAGAGATACTAATATGTCCATTTGTATTTGGTTTTTGTTTTTCTGGCACCATTTAAGCTTTAAGTATGTAACATAAATGGCATAATAGAGTGAGCGCTGTGCATCATCCACTTAGCTTCTTGTCGTCTCACTGGAAGAGCTACGACGCTGATTTTCAGGCTCAGGACAGTCATCATCCAACGCTTACATTAGAAACTAATATAATGGCTAACTTACCGGCCATGGCAACAGGTATAGTCTTCTGCAGGAAATAATGCTGCAAATTATCGAAATTGTTCTGTTTGATGATGTGCGGTGCGGCGAATGAGCCGAACATCTTGCGGAATATTGTCAACATTGCTGGCGGACCAGCCCAGGAACTGATCATGGCGTTTGCCACCTGCAATCATTATATTACTTTTAGACCCTGTAATTGTGGCACTGGTATTGACTTGATATTAATGTTTATGTAGTCAGTAGAAAAAAATAATATTTTTTTAATTCCACAACCAGTGAACAGTGAACCCTTTAATGAACAGTGTGGACTGGCATTAACTCGGCCAGCGGCAGAGGGAAGGAAGTTGTCGCTCAACCCGTCCTCATTCCCTGTATTCTAACAAGAGAAAGACAACACATTATGAAACACCCTTTGAAGCCTAACGACTTGACCTACCGCCTGTCAAGCAGAGGGTGGGTTCAAATCCGGGCTTGCACCTCTGTGTTTTTCGGAATTCATGTTCGAAATTTAATATGGAATTTACCTATTCGCTTAAGAAAAACATTGTGAGGAAACCTGCAAACATCTGCAAAGCAATTTCATGACGTGTGTGAAGTTCAGAATCCGCATTGGACCCGGGAACCACAGCCCACACCCGTGAATACGTTTTGATGCCAATTACGTTTAAATCCAAACTGTAAAGCCAGAAACAAGGATGTAAAGGCTCCGGCTCGTCTCAAAATACAGTAACGAAAAACAATATGTGGCTTACAGTATATTTTAAAGATTTAAGTGAGAATGAATGCCACACAACTTTAAGTGTTTATTATTTTTAAGTGTTTTTCAATACTCTATTTTAAAGCTAAACGTTAGTGTTAAGGCAGTAAATAGACGATAACCCTTAACCGGCAGATGGCTCAGTAATTTACTTCCAGGTATACGTGACTATCGAAAATTGTTCACCTTGGTCAAACAATGCGCAGCTCTACATCTGATTTTATAGAACGCCTGTTCATTCTCAATAGTGTCAGTCAAAGCCTTTCTGGTAGCAGGTTCTGGATAGTTGTGCAATGCGTCTATAGCCTCGCTTTGAGCTGTGACGTCACGCTCGTGACGTAGCTGATACTGCCATTGGTAGTCGGGCTGAGATATCACTGTGCCTCGCAAGAGTGACATTTCTGGGTCAAGACGGATCCATAAGACGGGGGAATCGCTGGAATTATAAAACATTTTAATAACAAATCATAATTCTTCATTGCTCGCCGCTGGTTTCGGTTTTAAGGAGAGAATTGTTAACGGTTTGGAAACATTAAAACTGTTCGAACGCTTTGCGTCGTTTTTATGATATCGACGTAACTGTAAAATTTATTTGAATGTGACAAATGTCTATAGATGTGTCATCCCTTATAATTATAACACTCACAACGTAACTTTCAATTTTGACGAAAACAACTTATTCATATAACATAATATAATTCTAAACCGATTTGGTGACGGGACGAACTAGTCATGCGTCTAGTGGTAAGCGACACCCCTGTCCATAACAGTTGCAGTGGCCCTCAGAGCTTTAAATCACAAAGACTTGAGGGGCGCTGCCTCTGTGCCAGTCACCCTGAAACGTAAGTTGACAAGTGCCTGTAATTTCACCACCACCCTTCCGACGCAGTAATGCTTTTGGCAGCAGAAATAGATAAGGTGGCAGTACTTCTCTTTATGAACTCTTTCACAAGGAACTCTACTGCTACTAAATCAATGTAAGTAACTTTTTCCTTGAAAATCGTAGACACATGTGACGATATTGCCAGATGAAAGTCGATATATATCGCTGTCGTGACAGCCTCTGCCAACTGAGGTATAGGCCGAGTCAGTAGATCTTACGAATTTCTATATGTGCTAATTGTAGGTGTTTGTATCGTGTTTAAACAGTTTTTTACCTTCAGCGCCACCTGTGAGAAACTTATGAAAGTTTCTTCACTCAAAATGTACGAATATCATGGCAGTAAAAACATCATGATTTGCAATAAAAAACACACGTGTCTTTAATAACCTCAAACTAAATTCTATGAAGTGTAGTCTAAACATTTTGCCGATATGTTGTTATGCCACATATAAATAATTTCAACAGTACGCATATAGACGTATAAATAAAAATACAAATAATATATTTGTTTCTCAAACAAGTCAACATTTTCGTTTGTTCGTTTGTAGCATGAACTGAAATATATTCTTTGGCAAATTATCAATTCTGTAATTATTTTTTTATTGAATGTCTGAACTTTTTTATTGGTTGTTTCACCACCATGATATTCAATTATTTTTTTGTGAAATTACTCCACTAGTTTGTTACAATTATTACCACAAGGATCGAACATTTACAAAAAAATCCTTAGATCGGGCCGGATTCAAACCGACGTCTTCAAGCAAAGCGACACTATGCCAACTAAGCCAAGGAACGAACCAGCGGACCTCACGATTTTTTCTATGTGCTTGTTGTCGGATCTTTGTATTTGGGTTTCAACCACTTTTTAGCCTTTTCTTTATTAATTCTGTCGTTAAAATTAACATTTTTTGTAACTATATTTCAGAATATATCTAGTCGATGACTAATACCATCCCAGTCAGCCGTGACCGTGGGCCCTGTCACGACCCCGAAACATTCGCTTGTTTTAAAATACATACTCGATCTAAATCGACTAATAAAAAAAAACTTCATAACTGGGATTGTTACAAAGTTTTTTTTCGGATCTAAATCCGAAAACAATACCTTGTAACAATCCCAAAACCCTAAGAACACCTTTTTCTTTTCATACATACAATTTCAAATTCCATAGCCCACATTGCGTTCTAGTGCCAATGATATATTATGTAGATACACACATGAATCACTTTATTAACAGTGCTTATAATCATATATAAAGTTACTTACTCCATAGCTGATAGATCCATGTCGACCTCCTCCCCAGTGCATAAAGGGATCTTTTTCTTTTTATTGCGTCTGCTCTTACTATGGCACGTGATGTCCGCCTTCACTACCGTGTTCTCAATTTGCAGCGTGTGTTTGAAGGTGCCGTCAAGCTCTTGCAGTTGCACCAAAAGGGGCCCGACGTATTTCCTTATGCCTCGCTCATGCACGCAGTCTTGACGTATCTCCAGTTCTACTGTGTTTCTGTTTAAAAAAATAAAATCTACAAATAAAAGTAAATCCTATACACGTTTACCTTATACGAACGATAATGACGGATGAAGCTTTCCAAGGACATACAACAGACATAAATGGACTGCATTCCAAACAATAACGTTTATTTCTCCATAAAATATAAGCAATTGGTACATATCGTCTCTGGATATATCTGAGTGATTTCAGGTGACTGTTAAATGTTTAACTTGTACTTAAGAATGAGAATGATGTATTAAAGTTAATTTTATTTAATATTATTTAATTTTACTATTACACAATAAAATGCGAAGCAATAGACAGCTTTATTTCTAAATAAGGCTGCCTATTGCTTCTGCTTTTTCATTCAAGCTTCGGTTAAGAGAATATTCCATCGTCATGTAATATATAAATTAAGTTACTTTAAACATTTGTTTTGACATAGCAGTAAATTGTTCGACGAACAGCACACTTTCAACATCTAGGACGCATATAACAAAAGTGAAGATCATCTTATTTACTTTTGGTTCTAGACATTAGATTTAAGTAAGATTGACATTGTTTCTAAAATAATATTATACATTTGGAAAATAAAAATGTACAAACCTTTTCCGATTGAACACAGAAGTGAGCTGAAACTTGGCGTGCCCACTAGTCCGGACCCACTGATCGACAAACACGGCCATATCCTTGCCAGTGACAGTAAATATGGCCTTCACAAACAAGTTAGTGGACAGTAGAAGATGGCCCCATAGTCCGCTACCGATTTTTGTATTAGCAGCGTTCGTTGCTAACGACAATTGCTTGTTGAACACTTGCAATAACAATTCTTGGCCGATACGTTGTTCTAACATACGTAGGACTAGATGAGACTTTTTTCTCATCACCTAAAAAGAAAACCGATGGTAAAACACTCGTACTGCTGTGTGAAGACTATACACAATATGCTTAAAATATTTTTTTTTTAGTATTAATGGCTTTGCCTTCGCATTTAGCCAATGAAAGGGTTGGGAAAGCAGAATTACAAATTTTGGAGGAGAAACGGAATTTGGATGAAAAAGGATGTGGTGGGTTGAGTGAGTTGATATTATTATTTTCGATAAATAAGGTCCGAACATTATACACATCTTTGTTACATAAATATAATAAATTTGTTATGGAGGTGGGGAGTGGGAATATGTTTTTCTACTCCCTGTAGTTTATGATGTAGTTTTAATTTGTCAATTATAATTTCATAAACCATATGACAAAGGTGCTCTTTTCGTTCTAAACCAAAATTCTATTGTCTATGGTACTCGCTAATGAACTCAAAATTTTCATTATAGTTCTGTCAGAACCATAACGACCCGGGCAAGGTAAAACGTCTAACGTGCATTTAGAAAATACGTAGAAGAGTGATTTAAAGTAATTTTTTTAAGAAAAAGAAAATCCTAATTCTAATTTTATTTGTTATAGGGAAAACTAGAAAGTTTCAGATTTCCCATATTGCAATAATGAAAATTACTAAGCAGCACAGACGCGCGGTTGCAACGCATCTAATTTGAAGGTCCCCTAACTCCAAAAATAAGAAGTAAGAAAATCAGTGAAGTTACTTTTACAATTTGTCTCTCACCTCAATATATCTGGGCGACATGGTGTGAACATTTCTAACAGGGAAGTAGAACATGTCTTTGGGGTCGACCCTAGCGCCGCTTGCTGGAGGCTGCCACGGATCAAGCACCATACCACCGTATTGCTCTTCGTAACCCACTACCTGCAATTATGATCACCATAATTACAACATATACTTATATATATTTACATTATTTTTTTGACTACTTTTCTTGCTAAATAAAAAACTTTCCTAAGTTTCTCACAGGTGGCGCTGACGGCAAAAAAACCGTTTAAACCCAATACAACGATCTACCTACAACAAGCACATAGAGAAATAATCAAAATTCGCTGCTTCGGTCTGTAACTTAGTTGGTAAGAGCGATCGCTCTGTTGTAGCAACAAATGCTGGTTGGAGCCCAGTCAGATCGACGGATTATTTTTTTTTTGTATTGATTGATCTTTGTTGTATCGATTATATCAATCAGTTATATCAATAATAATCACGATAATTATTTTAGCTTCAATAGTTCCCTGACGTATCGCAAAAGGCAAATGGTGACAGTTGGGTGTAATAGACAAATCGAAGTATGCGAGCAACAAAGGCAAGTTGGCACATATTAGTTAAGTGTAATTTACATGTAGTACATCTGCGTTTCTCGTTATCAGTACAAAAACAAAAAATAGGTTACAACTATACTGTCATAAAAGCCCCACAGATGGAGACCGCAGACTAGGGATTTCACATATGTTCGAAGTTAGCCCTACACGGTTGACTACAATTGACTCTCAACAACCGTGACTATGACTATGGGGCCTGTAAAGAGCCCGAAACGTAGGTTTGTTTGAAAAAACAAATATACGCGATTTAAATCCGGAAAAATAGTTTCATTTCCTATGTGTAACAATCGCGAAAACCTAAGAACTCCATACGATCTTGATACTTGAGTTAGTACAGAACTTGGAACATTCTAGTAAAATGGAATTATATAAAACAAGAATGTCATCATTACAAATAATTCAGAAAATACTATGTTATAGTCGTCATACCCACTATAATTATTAATAAACTGCTGGTACTATAGATCTATTTTTAAGAGGAATACATGAAAATAATTACTATTTCATGTATTTACTAATAGCAATAATGTATACTCCGTGTTAACTTGTCAAAAACTTACGACCACTTATAAAAACTATATAATTACCTCCTGCAACTCCTGATGAATCCAATATCGATATTCATTATTACCGAAACATTTCTTGGAGTACAGCCCGCACAAGTAATCCGGGATTCCCTTCGCCAGCCACAAATCTGACCAATTTTGCATAGTTATAAAGCAACCGAAGAATTGTTCTGCGACAGCCTGAGCCATTGCTTTGCGGCTCACATAAGTCTGGTCGATTATTGCGATAGAATGGAGGAGATGTGTACTCAATATCGACATTGTTGTGTACGCTGTAGAGTCGTCTTCAGTCTACAATTTTACAATGCATATTGGTATAACAATTAACATTATGTAGTAGCAGTAGAGCTCCTGTGAACATCGTACGTATTTCAGTCGTCAAGGCGGTTATGTCTGGCGGTGCTGGTGAAATTATAGGCACACGGGACTTGTCAACTAGTGTCTCAGGATGATGGGTGCAGTGGCAGTACCCTTCAGATCATTGCGATTTAACGCTCTGAGTGACAGTGCAACTGCTATGGATAGACATGTCGCTTACTACCAGGCGCACGTCTTGTTCGTCCCGTCACTTGGTATTATAAAATATAAATATAGGGTAAGGGCCCTTCCGTTCAAAACCGAAACACAGTAATGCTGACATTATTGCTTGGCGGCAGAAGTAGGTAAGGTGGCAGTACTTCCCTGGACAAACTCTTTCACAAGGAGTACTGCTACTATAATTACTGCTATTATCATCGCTCTTATCTGATTTGTAATGTCCATTTTCGTTTTGATTTGTTTATTTGTGTACATATCAAATTCGTATTTAGTCAGCATTTGTTGGATCCTTGACTAATTAATACATTTAAGTTTATCCTGTAACCGAAATATTGCCTGGAAGAGATTGATATCTAGCAAACAAAAGCGGCTGTAATACCTGTCTTTTGCTTTCTTTTTTGTATTTGTTCTTGTGTTTGACGACCGCCATGTTCAAGTGGCTTGCACATCGGTTTTCATGGTTTCGCAATCTCTCGAGGTCCCGGATTCGGTCGCCGGCCGAGTCAATATAGAAAAGTAACTTTTCTAGCCTCGGGTCTAGTTGTTTGTGGTATTGTCGTTGTTTCCGATTTTCATATGAGTGCTTTAGTTACTTACTTTGGGATCAGAGCAATGTATACGATATTGTCTAACAATTATTGTTATTTAATTGTATTGTACATTTTTAAATGACAAAATCATACACTTAACTGGCTCCGTGGCCAAACGGTTACGACTGCCACGCAGAGGTCCCAGTTTCGATTCCCGGGCCGGGAGAAATATTTGTATGGCCTATATTTATTTCTCTCATGAGTTTGGGTGTAATTTGTGGTTGTTTTTGTGTGTTCATGACACCCACGACACAGGGTTTCCCTAGTGCGGGGCTACGTTGAGTGTGTGCGTTATTATTATTAGTATACAAACCTCATCCACAAAAACTTGTTTATAACAAGGATAAGGGTATCTAGTGGACAACGTCTCCTCATAGAATTCAAACGCCTCATGTACATAGCGCACTGTGTTTTTCAATATCTGCATCAAGTTGGGCAAGCAGTAGTGCGTCACTTCGTTCATGTGTGGATCCACGTAGGTTTCGAAAGGTCTGAATGAAATTGTAATAATTAGATTATTATTCCGTCCTTTATTAACCAATTTCAAAAAAAAAGGAAGAAGTTCTGAACTTGGAGTTTTTTTTGTGTGTGTGTATGTTACGCGATTACTCCGACATTTGCGAACGGATTTTGATGATTCTTTTTTTTTGGAAAGAGAGTACCTCAGTATTGGACCCATTAAATTTGAAGAAAATATTCCTCTTCCAAGAGTGGTAACTAGGGGATGAGTTCGGTTTCGCGAACTTTTCGATTTCCATAAAACTTGGCAAATAGACGTAATTCCAATAAAAAAATCAATAAGCAAACTTTTTAGGTCAATTTTTTTAAATAAAAAAGTTATACTTATTATTTTATACACTTCTAAACTTACGGCTTGCATTATCATACACATATTGTAATATAATACTAACATTTCAAAACTGGAATAAACCTACGTAACATTGCACCTCCACTCAACCAATGATCAAGGCCAGTGCGTCTTGCCGAAGCACCGAGATAATAGGTAGGTGTGCAATACAACCTATTAAATTATTGAATCGTCTTTATTACTTTGTTTCCATTAATGTTTTCACAATATGTGTGTTCTGATGTACGATATTCTGAGTAATTTAATTACTTACCCTATAGCCAACGCAATATTAGGCGCACAAGCTGGTGTATTAACAACATAATGGAATGTCTTTCTTCTATGATCAGGGGTATACACTACGTCCAGCAGTTCACCGCATGATACTGCAGTCAAACTTTCGTCGACTGTAAACTCTAGCTTCCAGGTGCATGGCTCTGCAAAGCTATCTACACATGGAAACCAGAGACGCGCTGACTTGCCGTAGGTAAACATGTGCGCCGATTTCTGCAAGAGAATGTTACACTATATTTACACACTCTACCTGCAATTCATTATGAAGCTTGAGGACAAATTGTCGTCAAAAATAAAATGTCCCTGAAAGGGAGCTTTTGTGAAAAAGTTATTTGCAGCAAGTGTTTTGGTAAGAGCACAAACTGGTTTCAGATGGTGACCGTTTAGAATTTTAATTTTTTTAGGACTTCTTGTATGTCTGGTAGAGTGTAATGAATTTAACTTACTTCACACAAAGCTAAATACAAATAACAATTTCTTTTACCATGTTACAATTATAAAATCACTCAAACTTACAGGTCCCATGATAAAAACGTAGACTGCAGTGTAACAAAACTGACCGTGACGAAAGACCTGAAATTAACTACCAAGTGCCTCGACACAGTTCCACGCGTTTTGTTATCTATTAAAGACGGTAGAGGCTTACAATTTCAATTCTTTTAATGGGAAAATTCTTTCCCATCAAGATCTACCAATATTAAAAACAAAGAATAAATAAAAACAGTCCTCATATAGAAGGCGAATGCAGTCTCATGCAATGAAGCATGATCAGGCAGTCACCCCTACCAGGCGCAACGCGAAGATCGTCATTTGAACTGCCACAGATATGGCTTAGCAACGAGCCAGCTCTCTTTCTAAGAATAGCACGAAAGCCATCTGCACATTAATGTACGAAACAAAGCTCATCACTGACAAAAACTCTAAGGAATAAACTTTCGAATTCATAGGAAATTAAACTATTTTTTCGGATTTAAATTTAAATTTCGAATTCATTCTGGTCAGAGCACAATACCCTCGGATTTAATTTCATTACTTTGTTATTCATAGTATAAAAAGTTTCCTACTTTGAAACCAGGTCTGTTGACAAGTTTATAAAAAAAATATTTAATAGCATAATATTACCTCTACCAAAGTGCCCTCTCCTTCAGGCACAACAAAGTGCATTCCGCCCTGTGGCGATTCCAATGAAAACTCAATTCCAATACGAAGTCCGCGACCCTCACCAACCAAATGTGCTGCCTCTTCAGGCACTTGGATGTGCAGTTCACCAGAATTATGATCAGGGTCTATTCTTTGCGCTGCTGACAAGTGACATTGGGAGAACATTTCTAGAGATCTCCTGAAACATCAATAAAAGTAAAAAAAAAATGTAAAGACAGTATCCAAAATAGCACTGCGAAGGTTCCAAAATGTGTATCTGGTATACTATATTACAAGTTTCTGCGTAGTTTAGGTACCAGTATCTTGAAAAAATAATGTAAACACAATTTTTGTCTATTATATTTTGGTTCATGTACATTACTATCAGTATTATTCTAAAACGTAAAAGGATGTGTATTAAAAAGACTACTATGAATATTTTACACACCAGCAGATGCTAATGCAGATGCTGAGTTTTTTACTCTAACACCAGTGAATGCTCATGCGGATGCTGATTTTGTCTATTTTAAAAAAAGTGAAAAATGTACAGTCAACAAAACATCAAGCTACACATTGACGTAACTTGTTCCAGGGTACCATTTAGGTCATGTTATGACTCGAACATCAGTAATGAATATCAGCATTGATGAATGTGGAGGCTGATGTGTATGCAGACATTTTAATTTATGCAAAGGTTCGTAAATTATTCCAGGGTACCATTTAGGTCATGTTATGACTCGAACATCAGTAATGAATATCAGCATTGATGAATGTGGAGGCTGATGTGTATGCAGACATTTTAATTTATGCAGATTATCTGCAGATGTGAATGCTGATATTCGCGACAATCCTAATTAATACAATAATGTTCTAGAGTAAGTAAGTACTAGGTACTTACTCTAGAACATTATTGTTTAATTAATACAATAATGTTCTAGAGTAAGTACTAGGTACTTACTCTAGAACATTATTGTTTTAATCAGGGTTGTCACATACATATGTAATAGCACAACATCTTCAGTTTAAAGGTTAAACTCACCCAAAAAGCCAAATTGACTAACAGAAGTAATTAAGATTTTGTATTTTACCCGCAAAGGGATTATAATGTTATTGTATCTACAGCCTTTTTTGCAATTTCATAATGAAGGACACTACACACTTACAAAATTTTTCTTGTAACAGATGTGCCTCCCAATGAAACGAAAATACAAAATACTCCTTTTTGACCATAATGGGACTTAGGGTGTTTTACCTTTTAACCGACAATGTGTGTTTTGAATTTAAACAAGAGACAAAAACAAATAAATTACTAAAAACCAACCAGTAGCAGCTAATAGACAAGTCTGTCAGTAAACAAAATGTAGAACAAATGGAACTTACGTATTAGGGTCAGCTTGACAAATATCCAGAAACGGATCACAGTATTGGAAGTTTGCCTCATACTGGTCGTTCAGACACACCCTGTATATACGACACTGCTTCGAGTTGAGCCGAACATACCTCAAGTTGTCCTTCAACGGTACTATTGTCAACTCTACGAAGCCCTGCACAGTAATGTGTAAGAAAAAAATAACATCTATAATACCAAAAAAAATTTCGCTTATTTTTATTTCAACTTACGATAATGCTCTTCCTTTCAAAGCTTATGCCCGTGAGACTCAATATTTGATGGGCTGTAAAGAAAATAAACAGCAAATAAGTAAAAATGTCACAAATAAGATAGTGACAAGGGAAAACTTGTAAAGATACTTATAATTTGAATGGCCGACAATTGTCGCCTGTTCTTTCCTTCTTCATAGTTGGTTTTGAAGCTTTTTTTTTAACATTTCCATGAAAAATTATTGAACAATCCACCACATCAAGTAAAATTGATGCAAACTAGTAATATGATCTCTACTCCGCTACATTTATTTGCATTGAATGGTGTTCTAGTAGCCTGTCAATACCCTCTTTACGAGGCGTTCTTATAAAGAGCAGCATAACCATTGACTCACAATGTTAAGTCAATGAGCATAACAAGATTTTGTGTCTATAAAATAAATAAAGATAGAATTTTTAATAGAAATTCGCTACTAGCTACATAAACGCAAGGAATCTAGTTTTTTGTTATCCCAGAGTTGATTATAGAGTACCATATCGATTATTTAAAGAATCGATATAAAATTTTAACAACATGTAATGTTGACTACATAGCAAGTCAAGCTTGCCACTTTGTACTTTGGACCGTTTCTTAAGGTATGATCATTGCTTTAATATCGTTAGCGGCATAGAGTTGGATTTAAATCTTGAGTGTCAACTTGACGTGCTCTTGACCCTATACCTAACTAAAGACTATTGTATTTTTTATTTATTTATTTATTGTATAAAGGAAAAAATGCACAAATATGTTTCTAATCGCATTTTAAACCATGTATGTACGTTAAGTCACTTGACCTAATGAAAATATCGTAATTATATTTCGATTCGATTTTTTCATTTTCATAGGTACAGGATAATTTTTAACCTTAGCAAGGTTAAGCCGTTAAAATATTAGACACAACTGGTTCATGAATTTACCACTTCAGTCAACTGTGGCCATGTGACGTGTAAAGGGCATGAAACGTTGGTTGGTTCCGGAAAAATAGTTTCATTTCCTATGTGTGACAATCGCGAAAACCTAAAAATTACAATTAAATAACTAAAACTACACATAGGCGTCGCATTAAATTCAGATTTTATTTTTTTCAACGGTGTAAAGTAGTCAAGAACAGTTATATAGTTAATTCACAAATAAGAATGTAGGACGCATGGATTTACATGGCAAATCGCTTAGACCGCAACAGATAATTGCAACACAAATTCGGACACGCGCATCGACCAAGTGACGATTGAGCGATATTGGAAAATGCTCAGCATCCTAGTTTTTTTTTTTTTATTTAAATGTAATTTTCAAAAAAAATTGTGTATTTAATCGTCTACCACATTTAATAGCAGAATATAATATAGATTGGCTTTTTGGTTTTTATTAGTCCTCTTCTGCTTCTACTTTCTCTTGCAAAAAGCCCCAGATTTTTCTTGTAAAAAGCATAACAATAACACTACCTGTAGGCGTCTCTAGTGATTGTAAAAAATGTTATTCGGTGACAACATCGATCTTTTTAAATCGAATCATATAAATACCATTTTCAATATAGCAACACCAACTATTTAAAGTCAAACAAAATAACGAGAAGGAAGGAAAGGAGAGTAGATTCATTCATTCATTGTATTGCGATAATTCCAGACCCTGCAGGAATTGCCTCTATTTAATTGGATGTGAAAGATAGTAAACAAAATTATTAGTGAAAACTGTTTTCATGTATAATTTCCGTCTTGTATGGTCAAAATGGGAGATTCACCATACTTGACTTGTTTGGTTCTTTATATATTTTCTTTCCAAATTATTGTTACTAATTCTCGTACTTCTAATGTTTGGAAATTGAACGCAGAAGAAGGCCAAATAGTTGATGGTACTACATTGCCCCAGGTCAGTGCGGCTTCAATTCATTAAATGTTAACATTTATATAATCAGTGCAATAGAGCAATGAATGTTTTGTGAGATACTGTGTTGTGTTCTCAATTTAAAACATCATGTTTACCTTGATTGTTCAAGTTTTTTTGTAATGTAAATTTGGGGTAAACACGTGTTATTTACTTAAACAACAAATTATTTCAAATATATTGTGTGAAAATACTGAATAAGGATCACCAATTTGTCGCATTTATTTGCCATAGGATGAAAGCGCAAAAGGCAGAATGGCAGAAGAGGACCCTATATTTAACATAATAACTTCAACAGTGTTTTACGGAAATACCTGGACCAAACATGGGTTTGATATGTTTTGCACGGACTGCCAGATGTACGAACAACAGAGGTAGGTCCAAATTTTTAAAAAACATTTAAGATACAATAATAATTTCAAAAACGCACATAAGTTAATCTAAAATATTACACAATGCATAAAGATAATTCAATATATGTTATATCATGGAATAAAGATTAATGTAATGACAGTTAGTAAAATTTTATGCTACTTATCAAATTTATGTCTCCAATAATAGTATGTTTATCGCAGAATTTATAATGAGCATTAAATTTGTATGAGTTTTGTTAAATGACCATGATAGTTTTGAAAATAATATCTATTGAGAAATTTTGTATAAGTAATGAATGTGTTATAAAAAGGCCTTGAAAGTGTTCAAATAGTGCTACACTCTATGAATACACTGTTAAAGTATTTTTTTCTTTGTATTCATATAGTTGCTGACATTACTACAATACATCCATATTCCCTGCGGTTTTCTTCTCTATAATTTAGTAGAATAATTTTCTTAAATGAAGGAAACAAAATTTAAAATACTTACATTAGTACATTTACCTCATTCACAGATTGTGTAATGTGTAATAAGCTGTTTTCCTCATACCAACCTTGCAAACAATGGGAATTCTTTTAATGTGTTCCATTTCTGATGAAACTATTCATTACATAGTACAAACTGCAAATAACTATAGCTTTAACATAATTGTGGTTGTGGGCTTCATATTTATCTATGAATGGTATTTTGTATCAACCACATTGATATCTATCGATTTTGCTTTTGTTTTTCTTTCTAATATAGCTAATTGTGTATAGAACAAGTTTCACTGTCTGAGTTATAGTGTTACTATATAAAATTTGCCAATGAATTGTGCAAAACACAAAGTAAGAACATTAGGAATGTATGTTTGCCACCACAGGAACCAAGCAGAATAGAAGTGAAATGCAACAGGAGGCCCTGCGTATGTGGAATGTAACAAGTCAATTTTAACGATTTTTTATGCACATCACAAATGTGTATTATACGTCGACTGTAAGACGAATACTAATAATAAAAATTAATGTCATTTAGAAGACATGTTGACAGTTGGCAGTTCAATCATATAGCTACAAAATTGGTATGGGCTCAAAAACTTGTGTGTTACTATCAAGAGAAGCGCAACTTCATGTCCAGTTTCAAAACAATGAAACATTCTTTAGATAGAATACAATGGCCCTAGGAAATGTATTCAATGTACCTTTTTGATGTATCCCTACAAGGTACATCTACAAATATGCCATTAATTTTAATATCTTATAAATATGATGCACAGAAATATTTTCCAAATGAGTGTTATCCTGTAAGCTGTTGGCGACATGTACAGATAGCAACAATATTACCAAAGCCTAGTCAGAACCGCGCGGCATAATAAAACAGTCCTTTGAATATATTATAAACTGCATTTATTTGTTTTTTAAAGAATCTACTAATATTTCTCTACAGAGCTGGTATGGAAAATGGAGATGAAACAACACCAGCAGAAGCAAATGGCGATGCAGAAGATGAGTACTTAGATTGCGGCAAGGCAGTAAATTTCACATACTACGACAATCTCGTCGGAGTGGCGCGACGCCACAGGCATCCTAATGTACCTGAACCACAGGTAACAATATGGCTTACGATCTTCAATAATATTTAAATGACGACGGCGATTGCTGTTTCATACAAAAGGCAATTCATACCTCTACTGTGCCACATTCATTGGTTCATACCAAATGGAATAATCAGTTTACACATATTATTAATTAGTGCCAAAAATTGCTTTACACAATTACCACTAAGGCTTGTATTACGAAAGACAGTTCATTTTATCAGTCATCCGGTAGTTAAATTGTGAAAACGTATACTAACAAGATATCAACATCGAGTGCAAGCAGTTTATTATGTTCAAATAAAATTATAATTAAAATAGTGTGGCTTCTTAATTAATTATGCCCACAATGGTATATTTTCAATTGTTTACGTAATAGTAAAGCAGAAAACAATAATAATGTTAGTATTGGAACATAAAGTGATATGGCATCATACCATATTCCTCCGCAGGTTGCGTTAATATTCACAAAGAAAAAATCGTACAAAAACGGCGTAACAGAGCTCGACATAAACGCGTTAGAAAAAAGATTGAAAAAAGCAAAAAGAGAGAAACCAAAATCTGTGCAGCTGTACAACCAGATTGGGAATTTTTGGAGAATCAAAGGAGACACGCGTCAGTCGATTGAATGCTTCAGACGTGCGCTTGCAGTCTCACCTTATAATGCAGAAGTAAGTATCATTTCCTTAGTATAATTATATGTTATACCATAGATATTGTTAAACATATTACAAATGCTACACCAACCTTGGCTTAATTGTTCGCTACAAATCTGCACCTCTTACCTCAAACAATCACTCCTTTTCGTCCCCTTGCCTAGTCTGTTTGAGCCGTGACTCAAGCAGACTAGGCAAGGGGTTTCATCCTTTATGATAGATGTTCCACCAATAAGCATGAGCTGGGTTCGCAAAGTAACAATTTAATTTACTTCCATTTTTATTAAACATGAAGCATTTTGCTTCAACATTTATTACAAGAAAAACTAAGGAGTGGAATTCAGTGCCAAGTTCTGTATTTATTGAACCATACAACTTGAGTTTCTTTAAGATCAAAGTGAAAAGATATCATTTATGCATTTATGCGTCATTCCCTTATATAGGATTGTACACAAATGTGAGCCTGAACAAAGAATAAAAATATTAGGAACATGTATCCAGGGTGAAAAAAAAGCAGTGTCCTTATTTTTCCCGCGCATAGTATACAGTAATACAACATGTTAGTAAATTTATTTTTTGTCGCAATTTTTTTGCTGTTTGAAATTGTTTACATTCTCCAATAATTACCAACACGATTTCCTCAAACTAGCAAATAAAACTCGAGCAAGCCAGCAAACATGCTGGCGCCGCCGTGTCTGACGCCAGCATGTTTGCGCGACACACAGCAACGCATGCTTGCTAGTAGATTTGAGAGTAGCAAACACGTCGTACATAAATATAAATTTGTCGGAAAACTTTGAGACATCATAATTTAATTATTTATCAATACCGAAGATGTATTTTTTATTACTGCTGTGCTCCTTTAAAATAGGCAGTGCTTTTTTGTCACCTGTATAACAGATTTACATATGACTAAATAATCTCAAAGTAATTAACTCCAGAGACTAGAAGAAAATCGAATCGAACTCAGAATGCGATTCGTATAAGTGTATTAGCAAGGAATAAAAATGTCTCAATCTAATTGATTAAAAGATATTATTGATAACTTAAGCTATTTACATGTACTGTGGGAATTTGTTTCAATGTCAAATGAATTATTAATACAACTACTTTATATTTTTTGCCTAAGAAAAGTAAGCATTGTAAGCAAACAGTCCGTTGCAATAACGACAAACGGAATTCTTACACCCTACAATATGTAAAAAATATCACTTTTTTACTACGCCTCCGAGAGCGTCGTAATGGATGGGGGAAATTAGCCGTTACATTTCGTTGAGGTAGGTAGGTGTATAACGTCGTTGTTTATTTTGTATACAACAAACACATTGTCGTTTTTGGCAGTGCCCTCAGATCTACGATTTAAAGCTCTGAGTGGCACTGCAACTGCTATTGATAGGCGCGTTTACCACCAGGCGCACGACTTGTTGGTCCCGTACTTGGTATCATAAAAAAAAAACAATAGAAATGTGACGATGGGTAGGTACTGATAGACGATTTCCTAAAAGACTATCACATTAATTAGAATATGTATACATTAACAAATATTTATAATTTGCAGGTACTTCTCAATTTGGCGCGCGTGTTATTTACACTTCAGTACTTAGACGACGCTATCTACCTCACTCGTCGCTCGCTGGATGTGCAGCCTCCAGACCGCAGCGCCTGGCAGCAGTACTTCACTCTTGGGGAGATATTCAAAGCTTATGGACACTATCAGGTATTGTAACAAGTCTATATATATCCCATTCTAGTGCACGGATATCCGGTTATCCGGCCAAATCACTATCCCTTTCATCTCTGGTGTTTACAGTACATCGTTTCAGAAGACGATGCATGTACGCCCAGTTACCCAACGGAAAACATGTCATACTTTAAATTTTCCTAGCATTTCTAAGGCAGTCAATGTGTGTTACAATACATATTGACTACTAAATTAAAGTAAATTATTACAATATACTCAAACAAGGACTTATACGTCAACATATCTAACTACATATACACGCACAATAATCATGTGCCTACTACTGGTGTGTTGTGGTCATACAAACCTAAGACGATGTACTATGCGGTTTTCCGCAATTCATCTTTGACAGCGTTTATCGGTTGTTCGTAAATAAACATTTGAAATAAATAACGACTACGCACATACATGTGACTAACACATACAAATAAACGAAACTTTTCAAGCAATTTTAAGTGCGTTTTCAATTACAAGCTTTTTTACGTCATACACAACATTAATATGTGTGCCTAAGCATCACGATCGTCAATATCCAGAACAAATTTGTACTGCAGACAAAGCAAAAGGCAGACCAAGATAATAGAGACAATGGTATAAATGGTAAATACTGAAACATATGGATACTTGAAAGGCAAAATGGGATAAGCGACACTTTTGGTCAAATTGCGTTATATATATACCGTTGGAATCAGCTAATGTTTCTGATTTTCGATATACTATTGAGCCCGATTAGAACGAAAGAGTTCGTCCAGGGAAATAGTGCCACCTTCTTATTTCTGCCGCCAAGCAGTAATGTGAGCATTGCTACGTTGCGATTTTGAAGGATAAGGGTGCTGGCGAAATTACAGGCACATGAGACTTGTCAATATATAGTGAAAGGCGCAGTGGCAGTATCCCTCAGATCTTTGCTATTTAAAGCTCCGAGTGGCACTGCAACTTCCATGGACAGGCGTGTCGCTTAACACCAGGCGCTCTTGTTCGTCCGGTCATTTGGTATCATAAAAAAGATAGCCTGTTGATCTTGACATGGGTTTTTATGTTAAGTGCTATTCAGCTCAATGTTGTTTCAACCCAATTGTATAAGCAATAAACACCAAAAAGGGTACTTAAAGTACATTCAAATGATATTAAATTTGCAGGAAGCAGCAGTGCATTTACGACACGCGTTGGACTTGAGGCCGGACTTCGAGCCAGCAGTGGCTGCATTGAAAGACATAGAAAACATACCGGAGGCCTCCGTACATGTCTACACGCTCTTAATCATTGTTTGTCTGGTCAGTAATATCGCTTGTTAAATTTGTTTCTAACAATGTAGCATGTTGTTTGTTCTTCGTCAGCGTACATTTATTGGCCGTCCGTTATTGGATTTCCGGTACCGAACAATAAATACAGTAGAAGTGGTTAGCTAGCGTCAGACACGTGCCAATTATTGGTCTCGAAAGACCTATCTGAGCTCAGTCCGCCATTTTCGCTTCGTACAAATTTTCTAAAATCCTAGAAAAATAAATAAGCAATTATTGAATATACACTCAGTGCCAGATGCGACAGGCGACCAGCCATCCTGACGGCCACAAATTAATAGCTCCATTTCGTCGTCGTTCAGCGATACAACCGCTAGATGGCAGCACATTGATTGTAATTTCGATATAATACCAAAACGTCGAAACTTGTAATAATATGTATTGAACTTTCAATGATATGCCTACAGGGAAAAGTTTAAATTATATTAACAATCCAGAATTTGTTTTTAAATTTGAAACTACGACCAATCAATATCAAGATTTTACACTGTTTCAAATTTAGAATGTGTGAGTTTTCGCGACATTGTTTCTGATAGTAATCAAACTGCCAGTCAAATCAAATCATTTATTTGCTCTAAGTACAATCAAATACATGCAAATACAGTAGTACATTTCACAAGCCTTATATTACGTCATTCTTATTCTAAAACAAACATTTCATTATTTAAATTACATACAATATTAAATTACAATATAAATTATATTTTATTTATGCTATGCATTTACACAGAATTCAATAAATTGAGTAAAATGGCCAGTTCATAAAATACTCTTTCATTTTTCTTTCAAATGTTCTAAAATCACTACAAAGTTTTAGGTCTTTACTTAAATTATTGAACACTTTGATTGCAATGTTGTTGACACTGTTGTTGAAATTAACAAACCGAGAATTATTTAATGCCAGTCTATTCTTATTTCTAAGGTTGAAACTATAACTTTGCCCTGCTATTGGGAACTTTTCCTTATTTATAAAAACATGGAGACAATTCGATAGAGATATAATGAGGTAATTGTAAGAATTTTGTTGTCTACAGACAAATTTCGGTGCATAACTGGTATGCGTGTAGATTTAACAATTAGCCGTATAGCTTTTTTTTGCATTACTAGAGCAAAGTTTATATTAGATTCATTGCCCCAAACTTCGATACTATATCTAATAATGCTTTCAAAATAAGAGTAATAAACAGTTTTTAAAATGTTAGTGTCTGCTATTTTTAAGAGACTTTAATGAGTAACACGCACTTGCCAATAATTTATTCACGGTTTCTATTTGGTTATGCCATCTCAGATAAGGGTCAAGTTCAACTCCCAAAAAGCGATCACAATTTGACTTTTTTTTCACAATTTTTTTTTTCTTCTGTGATTTCCGGTATAAACGGTTCACTTGTGTATTATAGAGCGTAGGAATTTTCAAACGACTGTAGCTTGTCGTGGTGTGCCGTAGAAGCTCCGCTACAACGGCAGACAAAGCCAAGTCATGGTCGCCGTATAATCCTAAACCGTATGTGAAATACATCAAAGGCATATAATGCTACTCTGTTGAGAGTACTTTGATTAAAATAACACTTATTCACAGTGCAGATATACACTTTATTGCTCACACACGACAACAAATACAGTACATAAACAAGTTGGAACTAATATGGGCAGAGGCGGCCTTATCGCTAAGAGCTATCTCTTCCAGACAACCTTTGAGGAAATCTAAACCGAGTGGGAGACGATAGAATTTAAGTTTCGTGGAGATACAATAAATGAAAATCGTTTTCAAATGGCTTTGGTTGATTCCGCATAACAGTCAAAGTGTTGAATCAATCACTTAAAAAAATACGGGGCGTAAATTTGAGACGGGGCAACAAGGCCAGCTACCTTAATCGTTGTAGTTACAGGAAAACGGTTCTAGAAGACCATCCATGAATTTTGCAGATATTTTGATTGACATTCACAGATTTTGAAAAAATGGTACAGTCAGCAAGATAAAAGGCAATTTTTACAAAAAAAATTTTATGCCATTTGATCCGGTCTCTGGTAAGGATCAAATAGTCTCTATGGGACCAACTGAGGTAAGAGTACTCGAAATGGCAGAAATCGCAAAAAATCTTGTACTACACATTTTAATTGAAAAGTTGTTGTTAGAAACGAAACTGGCCACTACTTTACAAATAAGACTTAAGTAAAACCAAATTGTAATCATATCACTATTTTTTAAATTTGGAACAGCTTTGTTTTGTTTTGTTAATAGGGAATTGTTACTTTTTATTGAAATATCCCCTAGTTCGCCACTATACAGGACTTGACACTGGAGATAATAAAAATCGGTTCTCACTACTCAAAGTATATAGAGAGAAAAACGCCTTGATTGGAGAAATAGCAAAATCAACCATTAAAATATTGCTCCTTAAGTAAAATTTAGGCGCTATTTATAAAAATGAATCTTCATGCATGAAAGGGTGGCCACCCTTAAAGGTGGATGATTTTCTTCAAAATGAAATGGGACCACTATGAAAGTACCCCTTTTCCAACAAAAAAAGAATCATGAAAATCGGTTTACAAATAACCTAAGTTATCGCGTAACATACATACAAAAAAAAAGACAGTCGAATTGAGAACCTCCTCCTTTTTTGAAGTCCGTTAATTAATTGGAGCACATGGTCCTATCAAATGGCCACCGCGCTGTCCTGATCTGAAGCCCCTTGATTTTTTCTATCTAAAAAATTACATTTATATAAAAAAATGCAACAGTGCTCAAGAATTGAAAGACGCACTTGCAGCAATTTTCAATAGAATCCATCTGAGTAGAATTTCAACCGCTACTTGCTCTTTGCGGAAGAGAGCGAATCGATGCATCCGCCAAAGCGGCAATCAATTCGAGCACTTACTACCATAGACTTTTTATGTTATTTTGCTTTTCGTTAGTGTTTTTATTTTAAAATACTTAATACGTTGTCAATTTGTTAGTTTCCTTATTGTTAGTTTCCTTAAGTACCTAGAATAACTGATTACTAAAAATAGGTGCCTACAAAATGTATGGTAAAAAGTTTTTTGCAATTTCCGACATTTAGAGTACTGTTACCTGAGTTGGTCCCATAGAGACTATTGATCCTTACCAGAGACCGGATCAAATGGCATAAAACAAGTTTTGTAAAAATTGCCTGTTATCTTGCTGACTGTACTATTTTTTCAAAATCTGTGAATGCCAATCAAAATATCTTCAAAATTCATGAGTAGTCTTCTAGAACCGTGTTCCTGTAACTACAACGATTAAGGTAGCTGGCCTTGCTGCCCCGTCTCAAATTTACACCTTGTATATATATAGTAAAATTGTGGATATACACTAATTACTATACGGTGTGAAAACACGATTCCTAAAAATCTTCACGATAGTAAAAAAACACAAACTTACCTCGAAGTTTTACAAGAAAACTGTTGTGTTCAATAGGTACCTATGATTGTTTTAACTGCCTCCGTGGCCGAACGGTTACCATGACTGCCACGCATAGGTCCTGGGTTCGATTCCAGAGCCGGGAGAAATATTTGTATAGCCTACATTTATTTCTTTCGTGAGTTTGGGTGTAATTTGTCGTTGTCAATGTGTGTGGCCATGGCACCCGCGACACAGAGTTTCCCTAGTGCGGGGCTTATAAAAAAAATCAACTGAACTAAATAGACCACGTATACTATAAAAAACTTAAAAAAAATTTTTTTTTTAAAGAATTTGAAACAACGTCAAAACGTTTATTTTGGGTTTCACTTCATCTATATTTAACTTCGTACATCAGAAACACTAGGGTAATTAAATTGTGGCACACAGATTTTAGAAATATGGTGACTATACCAAACCATGCAGACTATATTTCAATGAGATCATGAAGACCTTCCCTTTTTCAGGTGATGGGAGTACTCCTAGTGATCCTCTCGTCGGTGGATAGCGGCAGCGAGGTGGAAGAACACAAAACGCAACGTCACTTCAACAGAGCGATGGCCATGAGATCGCTACGCGGCGTAGCATTAACCGGTGCGCGCGGGCGCAAGAAAGGAGGCTCGTAAACATCACAACACCACCGGCCTGAGTTTACTTCCCTTTATCCAAACTTTACTCAGGTATAATTTCCTGATTGTGGGGTTATTCAACTATTTTATGCATCAATTCTGTCTGAAAACAACAAGTGCTTTTTAAGAGATATATCGCACACGACCACTAACGTGATATTATCTCAAAAATTGCGTTATATGTGTATTTCATCGTTATATGACATACATGTAACGCCATTTGTGATAAAATATAACGCCATTGTTGAGATAATACGATGTTAGTTGTTATGTACTATATGTACATATATCGGAGATAACATTTTTAAGCTATATAGCTTAAATCAATGATCTTTATATAAGTGATTTAAATGAAAAGATTCTTAGAATGTTCCTGACAGGTTTTTGTAATTTTAACAAAGCAGTTTTTTAAGTTTATAGCAATTTTGAAATAGAGATTTATAATTCTATTGTACTAATAATGTAATATTATTAAAAAAAAGAATCTTTGTACTTGTGAGCTTTTAGATGTGTTTTCCCAATAGTGGAAGTTTTCAAATTTTAATAATAAATATTTTGTCTCTGGTTCTCTAAGATTTACGGTAACCTATATGACAGAAGCTGTATTTAAAATAGTTGATTATCCCTCTATTTTGTTTAAAATAAAATTTCCAATATACTTAAGCTTGTATATTTACGCATCATTTACGTACTTAATGTTACGATTTACAAACACTGATAATGAAGTGGCTCTGGATTTATTTATATAAAAGGTTGTGAATTACTTTTGGTTGTCTTTTTGAGAAGAGATCGAAAACTCAGGCCAGATATCGAACTAACTCGAAAAATCGTAAGTGATATCAGATTTATTAATTTATATATCGCTAATTGATATAACTGATACATTGTAGTACTGTTCCAAGATTGGTGAGATCGGCGAGAATTTTATATAAACTTGCAGCCATATGCAAATACACCAGAATTACCCGGCTAAATTACGTGTTCGCAATCACAAATGTTCGTGGTGAACAAATTAAATAAAACGTTGCATATGTCATGTCCATATAGATGAACATAACATACTTTAACCTGACACTCTCGAGCGAATCAGCCGCATTTGTTCTACTACATTTTGTCTTAAGGCTAAAGAACCTGTGTGTTCTTTATGCTGTTATAACCTGTGACGCTCTTCCTAACAAATGACACCTCAAGTGTTGACAAATTGACTGCAAATATTTTTGACCGGTCATAACCGCAAGAGCTGCATAACAGAAAAAAACGCGTTAACTATTATGTACTGCATGAGTGACGTAACATTTTATTTGAGACGTGTAAACATAGTTCTATAAATCCTCTTCTTGACAGTTATATTTTTTTATATTATGTGCTAAGGCTAGATGCTACGACTAATCAAATGACAAGGTGTACTTATAAACATGAATGGAACAGTACTACTCATCAGAGGCTATGTACAAAACAAAAAATATTCTTTATATATGAGAGCGACATAACAGTCTTGCCATGTCTAATCTGATCTCTGCTATGTAGTATTCATCACCTTATGATAGTTGTACCTATGTGGTGTATCCTTTTAGCAGTTTGGATAAAATACAATTTGGCTTTTCAAAATATTTACATTTTATAAATTTGTCTACAATAAAAATCCGCTCCATACTTTAACTGTACATTTATTGTAAGATTATTCTTATTTTTAACAGCAATAATAGTTTATAACTATTTATAGCTAGCTTATAATATACTGAGTTGAATTTCAAGCGCTGACAAGAAAAGAGTGCATTTATGCATAATTGCATTCGTGTCCTTGCTGTATAAGAGTAAAGCTGCTAAAGTTAAGGTGTACACACGAGTCCACGATGTATAGGAAAACACAGTTGGTTGTTATGGCGTGCCGGCCTTGCAATGAGCGTATCACTTCTGCAACCTAGTCATTCACTTAAACAAGTTTGGCCCATAAGGGCATCAGGTGTGTAAGTCGTTAGTAGTGCATGCAAGTAAACTTGTTAAGTGTTCGTAGCGTCTAAGGATTTAAGAACGATGGAGTGGGGAAATTCTGAGATTGGTAAAAATATGTACCTGTTTTCAGTGGTTCTTTTTGTTAATTTTTGACTATTTATTACTTAATACATGATTGTCTTAGCATCTATTATTGAGTTTTCTTTTACACTACCCATAAAGGCTTGTTCAGACATAAGCGTTATTTATTCCCTACCGTTGTGGGTAGCAAAATATACTGCGCGGCATCCTGTCGGGTATTTATATGAAGTTCCGCGGCTAGAGCGATACTGTAATACCGCGCCATATCGCTCGGGTAGGTGGTATCTTTTAGCTTGCTTTAACGGAACAAAATTCGCCGCATGATGCTGGGGCAGTGGCAAATTCATCTCACGCCCCGCAAGTCAGTCACGGTCTAACATAATAATAATTAATAATATATTCCGCTACCCATAGCGGCAGCGATTGCGCTTAGGTGTAAACAGTGGGAATACCGCGTACCCACAGATTTTGTTTCCCACAGCGGCAGCGAATAACACCTATATCTAAACAGGCCTTAATAAAAACAAAAAAATTACAAAATTATAATGTATTTATTACAAAATGTATACATGTAACTGAGGATAAAGTTTGACATTCACGAAATAAAGCTGACTTAAAATTAATTCATCTAAGCCAAAAACAATTCCAAAATATGATTAGATTTAATGGGTAATGTACAATTTTTGAATTTACATGTAGGCAATAGAGATATTATTAGTTACTTATACCTAGATAACCAAAACAAGAATGCTTTTTCAATAGAGCGATGATCATACAATTTATCCTGCAGTACGGTCTTGTTCGTCGTTTTAAAATGGGATGGGATTATATTTAAAACTGAAATTACGCAGATTCGTGAATACTAAGGCGGAAGATGTCGTGTTGGACAAAAAATGCGTCTCCAAGGGGCTTTAGCACAAATGTCTGCATGTATGAATGTGGCGGGTCGTCGTCACACTGCAATAGAACACAATTTTTTTTATACAATAAAATGAAAAATAAATAATTAATGAGCGAAGTAAACCTTTCAAAGTTCATGAACTTTTATAAATAAATAATGATAAAAGGAATGGTTCATTAATGTGAAGTCATTAAACTTTAAATTGTGTGATAACAACAAAATAAAGTACTTAAAAATATAGCTAGTACATTCCTGGACACATAATTCGACAGATAGGTACCTCAATAGTAATTGTCTTCACCATCCTCGCCAGTTTTAGTGTGAGCAAATCTTTGTTTCAGATAGCACATGGCTATTTGTATTTTAATGCCTTTGTAACTATAGTGAAAAAATATGGTGGTTTGCATTAATATTAGACGTAAGTGATTGATGACTTTACCATCTCACTCAGCCATAACACCTGAATTGGATCCGAAACATTGGTTTGTTTGAAAAACCAAACATACATTTAAATCCAAAGGATAGTTTCATTTCCTATCAAAAATATTGTTAACATTAAAAGAAGTTGCCCGATTTTACAAATTCAAATTTGAAAATATTTGGAAATCACGATTAATGTACAGTCAAGAGCATGTCAAGCTCGACACTTTGTACTTTGGACCGTAAAAATTAAAATTATTAATAAATTTGCATAAAAGCTTTTGATCAATTATATAATTGCTTAAGCTTAGGACATTAAATAGAAAAAAAAAAATTACGTTTTCAAGTGTATGGTGGAACCTATGGAGTAAATAATTATTTTACTTTGACTAAAAATGTAAGGTGGCTCGAATTACATGTCCAGGAGTGTATTTGGGGATTCTATTTACAGGTATTGTACTGAAATGATCATTTTTGAAGAAAAAAAAGAGATTTGCCTTACCTTCAATCTTCCCAATACATTGATTAGAACTCCACCGTCAAACATTGGTTGCGAGTCTACTGCAGTTATTATCCTATGTATCTTCTGGAACGACAAACTCTGAAATGGTAAGTATATTTATGTATATTTTGTTTATTATTCTATTTGCTAAGAAGGTGGCAGTGCGTCGAGCTCCATGACGCTTGACGTAACGGTAATAATAACTTTTTGATAACCAATGACTGGCATTCAAACATAGTTTCAAGAATAAAAAAGACTTTTAACAATAAAAAACAAATATAAAAGCAAAAATTTCAAAAAGGCCCAGGAAACTACTGATAAATTGGAGTATTTCATTGTATGGTAGTGAGACAAGGACAATGACATAGAGTGGCAGAATGATTGGAAACATTTGTGATGTGATGCTGGAGAAGAATGGAGGGAATTAGTTGGTGTTCAGAATAATGCAGGAAAAGAAAAGCTTATTAAAAACAATAAATAACCGAAAGACGTTTGGGCATCTGATATGTCACAACAGTTTTCTGCATAACATCATTGAATGACCACCCTTGCTCATGTGTCATCGTTATCCTCATCCTAAACTATAAACTCTGTTCACTTCAATAAATAATGTGCTGCACAGCAGTATCAAACGCATATAAAATGATGTGTATAATATCATGATTCATGACCGTGTAACATACATCTGTAATCCTCAATGGTAGGGTTATAAGCTATTATTCCACAGAGGTTAAATACCTCAGGATAACATTAGATTAAACCTTTCAGTTGAACCACCATTAAGCTAATACATGACTGTATAAGCGTTGACCTTAGGTATCCAATAAAGTAAGGCAACCCTGTGGTTTAAAACCAGGGAATCTGGCTTTACAACGCAAATGCGAAGCCTGTAGTAACACATGCCTCAGATTTTTGGTGTGCCAAAGGCACATCTAAATGGCAGCGGCCATGTCCACCTCACCTGAAATGGCCCCGAATGCCAGATTGAATTTGCCTCCTCTTTGTGTATTTGTATAGGAGGTCAGTACTAGCACATACTAGTATCTATACCCTGCACCTAGGCGAAGGATGAAATGTCTCTCCAAAACTTAATTTTGACATATTCTGTTCTCGGAATGGTGTCTCAACTCATAATCTATGATGCTTTCCAATTAAATTACTTTAAAAAAGCTATCATGTAGGATTTCCAACCAGGGAAGACTTAAAACATAACAGTCTCTGTTGACAGTTACCTTCTATGGTACACCAGTCCCTATGCAAATAGGTGTTAGTTGAGGTGCAGAAACCAGTCCATTACATTATAGTACAACATAGGTCAAATATGGAACCCAAGAAGCTGTGGTATACATAGACTCAAACTCAGCATACATACATATCTTTCAGGTTGTGATATGCACATGATCACTTGTGCGGATCTAAATAACCTGAACATGGTTAACCTATTTATTTCCATAAATTTAGATAAGTCAATTTTTTAATATACAGGTGACACAGAAAAATATAAAAATTTTTTCATGTACTTTACATTTGAAATTATAACCATCAATGCAATGCACAAATTTTTATCAAGAAGGTAAATTGACTTTTTACATGCACACTACTTATTTGTGTAATTGTACCTTCAAGATGCAAAGTAATAAATAGACAATATTTAAATGCCTCCTTAATTAAAATTTTACAAATTAAATTCAATAAACTTACATTTAATTTTTCCATAATCTTCAAGGATCCTTGCAGTTGTACACCCTCAAAGGTCATAAATGATGTCTCCACCTAGAAATAAAAGTTTCAGATTTGTTTTTAACATACAAGAACCCAAACTACATAGTTGCTTGAGGTAATTCAATTACAGTGTAAATTGGGTTTGAAAAATCATTCTTACAACTTCCAAAAATTGGTAAGAACGATAATTTAGTCATTATGATTCATTCAGAGATGACGACCAGTTACGAAGGGCATTCGCAGTTTAAAATCTTCCAAATAAGTAAAACAAAACGAATAGTTAACGCTCATAAAAAATGAAAACATTAAAATAGATATGGCATGACATCTTACGATCTAATGTAGTCTTTCGGCGGGAGCAATTTGCTCTAACCTAAAATTTCTCATTAGACTCTCGAGTTTAGGTAGAACCAAAAATATATGATCAAAATGAAATTTAATCACGTAGAATCTATCGAAAGAGTACTCACGTTGTACATAGCCGCCAGATTTGGTCGCGATGCCGGATCATCGAATAGTGTGTAATATTGTTGTACGAAACCTTTTCCAATTGCATCGTACTGTGGATTTAAAGCCATTTAGACGAATTATATTCCAAAATCTCACCGCGACGACCAGAATTCACTGTAAAATAGACAATTCGGATTTTCTGCGATACGTATCTTAGTGATGAAAAGAACGAACAATTGAAAGATTAAATGACGAAATCTCGGAATGAAATGAAATTCAAAGTTTAGTGTTGTAATATATTACAGTTCGTTCGTTATTTTCAATCGACTGACATTAGAAAAGTCTTTTAGTAAATTCGATTTGCACTTCGTAGGTTCTTATCGAAGAACAATTATCTTAATTGATATTATCACTAAATTTATATTCTGACGTTGTTTATGTTGTATAATCTGGGTCCTAATAAAAAATATATTTTCTAAATTATTCTTTTTTGGCTTGGTAGTACTGCATGGAATGAATTGAAATGTTTGTGTGCAGTGTTGCCAGTTTGTAGGAAATTTCAACTCGATTGGGATTGGGAATTTGGGATTTTCTCGGGATTGGCTCTATGTAGGGAAAATACAGGGATTGCAACATTTTATAATAATTTTCGATTGCTGGTGCATTGCTAGTATGATGGTTACTGATAAAAACACTACGATGACTTATATGTATAGCAATTTATAGATTATATAGAATTATTAGCAAGCCACTTATATGTATAGAATTATTCGATAGGATCAGTAGTTCTGAATTGTAAAATTACCAGTCGATGCATGTTAAGTGCGTGACCCTTCCTCCCGCTTAGACCAGTCCCCGGTATGAATAAAAACGAAATCAGTTGCTAACTAAATAAAGACGAGCAGTTAGTACATACTTTCACACCACAGCTTGCTACTAGTCAACTTTGAATATTAAATTTAGGTCCAAATTTAATGTACTCAATATTATATTATTTCAAGAAATAATTTATTTCTAACCTTAGCATAGTGTCACCAACTGTGCAATCCTAGACAACTAATAATGCTACGTAATTTTGTAAGGCTAAGGGAAATGATTTATGTTATTTTGAGACTGATTAATGTTGAATCTCATCAAATTAAATAAGCTATTTAGGGCAATCTAATGTTATAATTTGCTTTACACTTTACATTTTGTTTATCATTTAAATTCACAGCAATCCAGCAAACGTAATAGGTGGTTTAAATGTAACCAGGTAACCAGTTTCTTGATTCTGTGTTACATTTTTAAAGGGGATTTAGAATAAATAAATAATGAGAACTCGAGATGTGGGAAATATGAATTTCGCTCTCCCCAAATTTTTGGGAAACCTTAATTTTTGTGATTTTTTTTTTAACACAGCATTGGCGACATTGTGTGTATGTTTTTTTTAATGAGAAGCCTTAGAATGGAAAAAAAGTGATCCGCGACTCGACGATATTTATGCTATGTCTGAAACTTAGAGGATGGAAAAAAGTAAAAGAAAGAAGCTGCCTTAACTACAGAATGAACGTGCATACCTAAACAAAAATTGAACGAACAAATGGCGGTTTTCTTTAGTGTCGACATACCATAATCTATCGATAAGTCATTATCGACATGCAAACATTTAATTAATGTAGATCAATATTCCATTTGGGAATATTTTAGGTTATATGGGAACATCGAGTATATAACCAGAAATAGAGACGAAATGTTATTTAATTTGTTTGAAAACAATTCTGCCACATTATTACTGTGACAACTGCGCTCCGATTGGCTAGCCCGAGTTCGAAACAATTGACGGGTGTCGTCAACTGTTTCACTTCAAATGACCAGTTAACTTGAGCTTTGCTAAATTGCAAAATTACATAATTTAATATTTAATTACCGATGAAATGTGATTCAGTTTGTTTTGTAATTAGATGTTTTGCTGTTTTTCCTACAACACCGAATAGAATAGCACGGCATTGTTAGAGATATTATCTTTATTACAATAAATACAGAATATTTTTTGGAATATACGGAGACGTACACACAGGTCAGTAGTTGGCCTGTCTATATTTCAGTGCAAACGAGAGTTGATATTTGTAAGGGCTGTATCGCTAATTTGTTACCAGTAATGTATGGCCCTTATTTTGAAATATAAATCCTATAGATTTCCAACCTCAAGATTCATATTTTCATAGTTACATTTTTAAACAGATTCCAAATAAAAATAAATAACGCACACACTCAACATAGCCCCGCACTAGGGAAACCCTGTTTCGCGGGTGCCATGGACACACACATAGACAACCACAAATTACACCCAAAATCACGAGACAAATAATTGTAGGCCATACTACTATTTCTCCCGGCCCGGGAATCGAACCTGGGACCTCTGCATGGCAGTCCGGCATGGTAACCGTTTGGCCACGGAGGCAGTTATACCAAAAATTATACGATCAAACAATATTAAGAGAACTAATAAAATTTTCAAGAGAGGTAATTCAATCGTTACTTATTTTTTTTTTTATCTAATCTTTTTTGCAACGAAATGAGTTTTATTTTTTTTGAGTCCTCTTCTAAACCCCAAACCGACTAGAACAGGTAGTGTGGGCGGTTCACTGCAATGTAGGTGAAGGCAAGCAAGTGGACTGTTGGAGGGAGGGGGAGGTGTCGAAACTCTCTCAAGTTGAACTTATATGTTGGTTAACTTAATGGCTTAACGCGTTAAGTTTGTTTGCTTCTAAAATGCACAATATTGTGTTTAACTTTTAGGTATTGTTTTAACTGATAGTTAAATAATTATAACTTTTTCATAAAAAAGAAATTCCCTTCAAAAGTCCATGGTTGTACATCACATGAGGTAAAGCGGTAGATATACGAACCATATTTGCGTTGTAAAAACGATTCGTTCTCTCGTTTATGACAAACTTTCAGACAAAAGTTTAAGAAGACTGGTATCATGACTGTGGCATCACAACATATTTACTCAAATATTTTGTATGCGCGTAAAAATATGCATAATTTCGTTAAAAAAGAATATATCCATAATATTAACCTTAGAGCTAAGTCTCATGGTAGCACGATTTCCTTTAACTAATTGTTGTTTAAACCTTAGTTAAAACGTATACGTTTTTTCAATGAGATTTTGGAGCATATATCTGCCCACTAACTAAAATGCGGCTAAATGACAAGTACCTAGTCAAATATCGGCTTTAGAGAGCACAAGACAGAGTCCAAAGCTCTCACTTTAAAAACAGATAAAGTTAGGTCCGACATATCTCATGGTGAGTTTCGCTCATCGCAAAGATACAGAGCTAAAATAAATATCATTAAATAATTTCAATATTCTAAAACCGGGTTATAATTTTTTATACATTGAGATCCAATAAGAATTATTCCCGCTCCCGTGTGTATTTTGCTCTCATCCAATCATACTTCAGCGCGGTAACAACACAACCATTGACAATAATTCCCGCTCAAGTGTTAATTTTTGCTCTCGACCAATCACACGTCAGCGCGGCGACAACACCCAGCCGTCCTGCTCACGTGCTCGTCCTCGAGCTACGTTCAAGTCAGGTACAAGAGCTGAAAACCAACATAACAATACTCCCTTAACAACAAAGTGTATAACGACATCAGTGTCCATCCATTTCACTCATGCGATAAACACTAATTTAGACGCACGTTGACTCAACAATTGCTCTACTTGTTGTAGGTGTGTGGTTTGAACTACATGTCTCCTGTCAACCTGTTGTGTATCACCATACAGCTTAAACTAATATCTCTTATTTTAGATCAAAAGTGGTGTATCGCTTTAGATTTTACATAGACTTAGACTGATTAATCATTTTCACCTCGACTTACTTTTCGGTTTTTGACACAATGCGACTTTCTTTAGATCTACAGGCTGCTTCCAAATGACCAAGCTTATTGCAGGAGGTGCATCGCACACTGTCTTTGATAGTACAAGTGTTTCTCCTGTGTCCTGTATCCCCACAACGATAACAAGTATTATTTGGCGCTATACCAGAATTTGACGTAACCGGATTTTATCGAGCTTTGAATCGATGCCTGTCTGAATAGACTGTGCCGACCAAAAAGTATGCGGTTTATCTACTGAATTATTTTTCTGTGCAAGAGGCATTTCCGGTATGGAATATTTTTTTCCAAGTAAAAATGAAGCTAAGTCTTCGCAATATTTAAAATTATCAGCTTCCGCAGCATATAAGTCAACATAACGAAGGTTTGAAATAGTAAAAGGCGATTATAAGCTACTTAATAAAATGTCAGGGGAATTACAAATTTGATTGGGGATTTTGTGTAGAATGGTGTTGCAAAATAACTCATTTGGGGGTTTGATTATTTCTACGTGTGGAAAATTGGGGAAATAAGAGAGTTCATATTCCCCAATATCTGACAACAAACAGATATTGTAGAATTGGTTTCCTTTATTTTTAGGGATTTTATGGAATATCGAATATCGGCTACTTAACACACATAAATTGGCGAATTAACTTCGCAAAAGTCTGGCAACACTGGATGATACCACATACTTGAAAGGATTCCATTGATTTCATTGATTGACTTACAAATAAATTGTAAGTCAATGGAGGATTCGCTCTGGACCTTTTGGAGGGAAAGTGACGTTTTTATTTTGACTTTTAATTATTTTGTGAAATCTAGTTTAAAGTGGCATAGGATAGTGCTATTGTGCCGTAATCGAAGATTAAAACGCGAAATTATACTCTCGAATCTCGAACTAAAATACCCTTATCGGCCCGTTTTAAGGAATCCTGAGTCAATCCAAGCACGCCTATCCTCTTTGTGGCGGCCATATTTACAGAAACATAATTAAACTTCATGTTTAGGCTGATGGCTTTGCCAAAGCCTTAATAAAAAAAAAAAAAAACCAATGCCCAACAAATAAATAATAAAATACATATGTACTTGAGATAATATAATATTGTTGATCTTGAACGTAGTGCTTAAATTCTCTTTGGTAGTTAGTCTGTGCTCGAAACAAAAGTTGTGTGTGTACATTGCTTAAAGTTTCACGAACTTGCGGAACTTGTGTAATTGTTTGTTTTGTATTGTTTTACAAAATGTCTTTAGCCGACGAATTGCTCGCCGACTTGGAAGAAAATGACGATGGAGAATTGGAAGCTGCCATCGAAAGTAAAACTTCAAACGATTCATCTCATGAATTTGCTGTTCCGTACCCTGTAATACCTAAAGAAGAAGAAATTAAAAACGTCTCTATTAGAGAACTAGCTAAATTGAGGTATTCTGAACGCCTAGGACGGGTAAGGTTATATTTTATACTTTTTTCACCATTCATACATTTGGAGGTTATGTGCTCATATTGACGATTTAAACATAAAGAACTCTTTAAATAACGTAATCTTCTATATTATTATTAGTCTATAACACTTAAATATTTTCATCTTTATCGTGCGGAGTAAAATAATTAAAATGGAATTACTATAAAAATGGGGCAATCGAAATGTTAATATTCAGAACAGTAACTGCTACTGGGAACATTTATGTAACATTTAGGATGAGACACTGCCGTCCACTGACTAAAACGCGGTTAAGTGACAAATGGTCAAATATCCCTTTTAAAGGTTTATTCCACTAGTCTCTACCAGCTGTCCCCCCTGGCGGGGACAAGTGCACTTTTTTTTCCACTCTTCTCGACCACGCCATCACTGGTTGGGGTAAGTGGAATTTTATTTCCATAATATAATAAAATCAATAAAATCTCTTGATGTGTACAGTACAGTTTCGACAAAAATATGTAATTAAATATTCACAGTAATATCTTTTTGATAGATAATTGTAGTTGGTGGGTATAATAAGATCTCTGACTGAGTCACGATAAAATAGTGAAGAAACATGTAACAGTCAATATGAACCTAAAGACTTTTGGCGACTTTGCCATTTCAAATGTATAATTTTTATAATAATACTGACACTGGCTCAAGTTTCGTGGCCGTCATTAAGAAGAATAATAATAATAACTGAAGATGCCTACTTACCAAAAACCACAAAAGAAAAATTTTGCAAGACTTGACTGTATGGTTTGAAACCTTTGTCTTTTCCTAAGCAGAAAGAAATTGAAAAACAACACATGTGTAAATCATTTATTTTAAATGCAACCACACTAAGTAGTCTGTGAATGCAGCTGATGAACGGGGCCATTAATGTTGATCTATTTTTGTAAAAATTACATTAAATTATTGTTTAATAGTAGTTAATTTTTTTAAATATATCTAGCAATGAGGCGAACAACAACAATGACAGTCATCACCCTTAAACCACCATTTATCAATATACTGCACGAATCTAAACAATACTATTCAGGCGCCTTGAAATTTGACGCTCACACAAGCGCTGCGGTGACGCCACTGTGGCACTGCAGCTGCGTCACTACAAATTATCATAAAATATTTAGCAGTGCAGCAGCAGTGCCACATACATGCAACATTTGCAGACTAGATATTCTATAAAATTTCAATAGTAATTTCAGACGCTCCACTGCAGTGCTTCTGTCAGCGTCTAATTTGAAGGCCCTTAGCTGATAATAAATACCATGTTCTAAAATAAATTGTTATACTTTTCATTGATATAGTTTTATTCTTGACATACTTATTAATAGAAATGGTTGGGTAGGGATAAGTGGAAATGAAATTCCACATATCCCAACCAGTGATGCTGTAGTAGGGAAGAGTGGCAAATAAAGTGCACTTGTCCCCACCAGGAGGGCCAGCTGGTAGGGACTAGTGGAATAGGCCGTTTTAATTAGCAAAAAATAGAGCACCAAATTCTCTTTTAAAGATAGTTAAAATTAGTTAATGTGTTCGACATATCAGAACTTACCCTAATGAAGCATGGCTGAAATATCATTAAACAATTTCAATACTATAAAACTGGGTTGTGTTGCATATACTTTACTGCAGGAACAGTTTCCATTAAGCACAAGGTTTAAGTGGTAACTTCTTTTTCAGGTGATATCTGAGATAGAGCGCAACATAGGAGGTAGTCGTAATAAAATAGAAGTTACTGGGTTGATGGAAACAGACCCTGAGTACCAGCTCATTGTTGAAGCCAATAATATTGCTGTTGAAATTGATGGAGAAATCGGTAGGTTCCATTTTATAAGCGCTAATTATTTATAAATACATAATTTAGATGATTCATTGCATCATGCTACCTAAAGTAATTTGTATGAAGAACATGTGTTTTCTATTAAAACAAATAGTAAATAATGACATTTTTGAATGTGACAAATAAATTGTAGCATGTACAACGTTGAACAAGGAAAATTTCATTTTGCAGCTATTATTCACAGATTTGTGCGGGACAAGTACCAAAAACGGTTCCCAGAGCTGGACTCTCTCATCATCACACCATTGGAGTACATTCGTACAGTGAAGGAACTTGGCAATGACCTGGATAAGGCTAAGAATAATGAGATACTGCAAAGTTTCCTTACACAGGCTACTATTATGATTGTTTCGGTTACTGCTTCTACTACACAAGGGTTAGTATATTATTTTTCATTTGTCTTTATTATTTATTTGATTATGAAAAAGAAGAATTAAGCCCTATGAATAAAAATTAATACAAAATGCACTTGATACCATTAATTTGACTTTCTATGTAGGGATTGAAAGAGGTAAACATAATAGCTATGCATGCAAAATTAGACACTAATTGCATGTGGATACAGTTCAACAACAGCAGTTATTATTCTTAATTATATTTATTATATTATACAAACTCAGATATCTTTTGTAGGAAATTCCTAACAGACAATGAATTAGCAGAAATAAATGAAGCCTGCGACATGGCGGCGGAGCTAAACAACTACAAATCGAAAATCTATGAATATGTGGAAAGCAGGATGACTTTTATTGCACCTAATATTACTGCTATTGTAGGTAAGTGCTAAGGACATTTCTACAAGCAAGATAAAATATACAATATACAAATGCATGATTGTGAATGATTTTGATATTCAACTCGTTAGTGATTACTAATTGTGTCATCAAATGACAATTAGTAACCTACTAATTGTCGTATTCGAATGATCTGAATGATCATTCATTACAAATCCATACATTCCATAGAGCATTTTCTGCCTATAGTTTTTAACATATGGTTAATACTGTAAATGTGACGGGGACAGGGATATTTTGATATGGACACTGAATGATCTGGAGTTCTGAGTAGTCCCGACATAATCGAATATGGATTCGATTTAGGCAAATGATTTGACCATTCGAATGTTTAGTATTAGTAACATTCAAAGTCGCACATCGCTAATCACGATGGTTTCCTGCACACTGTTCTCCACTGAGTAAATTCAACTACTCTGACGTAAGTAATAATAATAATGTGCCAGACAACTACACCAATTTCCTGATCTCTCTGAGTACCAGAGCAATCGATTCACTTTGGGGCGCTTCCCAGAACATGCAGATCAGAACCAATTTAGAAAAGTTAATTTCTCGTATTTGTCATATCGGCAATCGAACCCGGGAACTCCGCATCTTGCACCTATTGTGGAATCCGTTAAGCCACCGAGGTTGTCGAGGTCGAGTTTGTTGAATGACGTTTTCTTTTACTTTGACACTAATAAAACGTCGTAGGTAGCACATTATGTTTCTGCTGACCCTCACTAACATACAAAAATAGTTCATCACGATTTTCATACATAACATTTCAGGTGCGTCAACTGCGGCAAAGATCCTTGGAGTAGCTGGTGGTCTATCGAAATTGTCCAAAATGCCAGCTTGCAATGTTTTACCGCTTGGCCAACAAAAGAAGACATTGTCTGGGTTCTCCCAAGCATCGGCGCTGCCACATACGGGGTTCATTTATTTCTCACAAATTGTACAGGACACAACACCTGTAAGTATATGTATTTATATTAACTTTTATTAAATAATAAAAAATATTAAAAATTATTTAAATCAAAATATGAATGTGGCAGTCTCATCATTGATACCCATTGTTATTGTATACGAGGTGTGTTCAGAAAATACCGGGAATTTTAAATTTCGCGTGTTTGGCGAGTCCGACTGTCAAGTTTTTTTTTTATTGTATTGGTACATGCCCTGGAGTATGATAAAATTTTCAGCTGTATTCATTGTTTACTTTGCCTGTGGCAGCCGCTAAGGTTAGACGTATTTTTATGAGCTCGGCGATTTTCATTTGTTAAAAGAAATGGATCAAAGAATTTGTTTCAAATTTTGCGTAAAAAATTAAATAAAGTGTGTGAAATGTTAACAAAGGCCTATGATGGTTCTGCTATGAGTAAAACAAGAGCTTACGTTTAAGTGGTATTTAAGCATTTCCAAGATTCCAAAACGCCCAGATTTGTGGAAAAACAATTAATTAATGGCTTGCACCACTATAATGCACCTGCTCACACTTCATTGCTTGTTCGTGAAATTTTGGCCAGGAACAATACTGTAACGATGTCCCAGCCTCAATATTCGCCAGGCAAGGTTCCGTGTGACTTTTTCCTATTTCCAAAAATAAAGAGAACCTTAAAGGACCGCCGTTTTACAAGCATAGATGACATTAAAAGCGCATCGCTGAAAGAGCTAAAGGCTATCCCAAAGACCGAGTTTGAGAAGTCTTTCGACGATTGGAAGTAGCGCTGGCACAAATGCATAATATCTAATGAGGACTATTTTGAAGGCGACAACATTAATATAGACGAATAAATAACTTTTTTTTTCAAAATAACTAAAATTCCCGTTATTTTCTGAACACACCTCGTAATTTAAATTATATATAATTATATATATTAATATATAATATTAAATTAGTAAATGTGTTTTTTTTCATAAACTGTAAAGCAGCCATTTAGTGTCTATCTTCTTTTTTATGTTACTTACCAATTTTTCTACTACATTAATTGTGCTTGCAAAATAATATACTTCAATTAGATTGAATTAGCCAGTGGAAGGTACATTAAAAGGTAAACCTGCTGAACGCTTAAAAAAATGTACTGCATTCTTCAAATGCTGATGCTGTAGCTGAAGTCAGTTGTGAAGTATCATCATATTATTTGTAATAAATTATCATACACTTCAAAAACAACTGTCAAGAAAGGAAGGTCCTTTAATTTGTCCTGTATGCATCAAACATGCATTCACGTTTTTGCACTTACTTATTCAATTACTAATGTAAATGATAATCAATCATACCAAATTATGATTTCACTGTTCAGGAGCTACGGTACAAAGCTGCAAAGTTGGTGTCAACAAAACTCACGCTAGCAGCCAGAGTGGATGCGTGTCACGACAGCACCGATGGGCATATCGGACGCCGATTGAGAGAGGAAATAGAGAAGAAGCTGGATAAATTACAGGTATTCTAACATACGATATGATGTGTATGTATTGTTAGAGTACTAGTGTACAGACTCGTTCTCTGTTTTGTTATGTTTTACAAACAGGCACATATGTTTTTTGTCACGCCTGACTAAACACTGCCTCCTTCTAGTTTTAACCCTTCGATAACCGTTGTGTCACAAAAATACTATAGCTGATTATGCGCCTATTTCTTAATATATTGATCTGTATTATATCACACAAACATCCTTTTTGTATTTAATATTTAACAAACATTAAAGTCTCATCTTTATTCCGTGTTGAAAATTACCAAACAAGAATTAGGTCTACATTATGTGGACCGACGATTTTATGTCTGCCTCGTGTCCCTGTCACGGGCGATGCGGCGAAATGTGGAGAGTTCATTGGGATAATAAATAGGCAACTGTTTCATCTTCTGCATTCTCGTTTGCCAGTGCTGCACTGACTTGAAATAGCGTTTACACGAACTTAATATTTTCCCACAGCTGGCATGCCAATGGCACTGACGTCTGACATTGTTAAATAATGTGCATTACTTTGCTTATTTCGTCCCTTATGAGCAATAAAATAGTAGATGCCCCTTTGTGTGCAATGATTTCGCGTCTTGGTCTTTCTACACAAACTATCTTCATAATAATGTTGATTAATAAAGAATTCTTGTTGATCTTAAAATAGTATTTATTTCGTAAACTTGATTACAAAATGAAATACGTGCGTGCTTATGACAATGCCTTGATTGCAAAAGTGCAAAAATTATAACTAAACATAAAAATGCTGACGTGGTGACATACTTCATGTGTGGTATTAACCGTACAATTTCAATCAATAGTCTTAATAAAATTAATAAACTATACCTGCAATACACCTTAAGTGTTCACAGAGACGTGAGACATTAATACGAGAAAGGTCTTTTGTAAACCTCGATCATTTAAATTTGAAACGCATTTCGCTCTCACATCCTTGATCTACTAAAAGTGTTATCTTGCAAAACGCGAGGATATTTGTATCCTGTTTTAAAATTATGATAAGAGTGTAAAATTATATTAACCTCTGTTAAAGTAATAATCATAAATTATTTATGTATTATTGACATTTTTTGTGAAATAACTCCATTAGTTTATATTATGATTTTTAATACCAAGATCGAATACATAGAAAAATGCCGAAAGAATCCAGTACAAAGATCTTTAACTAGAAAGTTTCAGTAGCTCAGTTGGTAAGAGTAATACTTACGGTGCAATATGGCCGTGAGTTCAAGTCCCATCGGGTCGAAAAAGTTTTTCTATGTGTTCGATCTTTATATTAATAATCATGATAATTATTGATTCTTTATTTTAATTAGCTGTATATAAGGTTTCCGATGCACTTCCACTGAAAGAAGAAACTAGTTGTGTGTTCCTCACAAATGCACGTAGTGGAAAATTGCATTTGCAAAAAAAACTATGTTATCCGCTATAGACACATTTAATAAAATAACTGTCCCACTTGATATTTTAAAATTATTGTAGTAAATCATAAACTTTTGCGGATGTAGGCACAACAATCTCATGAAAGTTTTTTCGTAATCGGATGAATAATAATGGCACAAACGTAGAATAAACAAACTAGTGGAAATAGTTGTATTGTGCTTTAGTACCAAAAGCACACACTTGTAAACTTAATCTTACATTACATATTAAGAAAATGTAGTTTTGATTGGATACAAATTTAAAAATTAAATTACACTAATAGTAGTCCGGTATTACCTATATGTATAGTATGTAGTAGTACAGGCAAACGTTACCTTGTATGTGACATGAAAACAATTTCTTTGTATGATTTATATTTATATATCGATGGTCGTATAATCGTTGAAATGTCGTATAGAACATTTCCCTTACAACAAAATGTCGCTTATGCCATTTCTAATTTCTACCGTCGAATGTGTATAATAAAATGTAAAAAAATATTTTGTTTCGTTTACATTCAATTTAGGTGAGATTTGGGCAAACGTGAGACTATCTCTATAAATATATAATATAATATACTAAGGTCACTTTTGACACTGCCCTTCGTCATACAAAACCCTGTGGCAACCATTAACTTAATATTACTAACCAGTGTGTTCGCTTCAGGAACCGCCACCTGTGAAATTTGTGAAACCCCTGCCAAAGCCGATTGAGCAAAGCCGCAAGAAGCGCGGCGGAAAGCGCGTGCGGAAAATGAAAGAGCGCTACGCTATGACTGAGTTCAGGAAGAACGCCAACCGACTCAACTTCGCGGACGTGAGTGTAACGTTTAAATTTTTTATAGTTTATAGTCATGTAAATGGAGGCATATTAATTTTGAACTGGATGTGGCACTAATGGACATTTATTTATTTTGTTCGTGTTGTCAGTTGGCGACTTGCGTTTTAAAGTTGTAATTTGTCAGCATTTATAGTGTACACTTTAGAAAAGCGTCTTCAAATTTACATAACTGCCAGGATATTATTTGCTAATATTATTAGCTATTGCATTAGCTCGTGTAAAACGCCCCTTCTGGCCCGGTAAAATATATTGCTATCTATAAAAAGTAGTCTACGGTCATCGAGTATATAACCAGAAATAGAGACGAAATAAGGGCTATTTATTCATGGTAACACATTAGCGATACAGTTCTTATAAATATCTCGTTCGCACTGAAATATAGACAGGCCAACTACAGACCTGTGTGTACGTCTCCGTACATTCCAAAAAATATTCTGTATTTATTGTAATAAAGATAATATCTCTAACAATGCCGTGCTGTTCTATTCGGTGCTGTAGGAAAAACAGCAAAACATCTAATTACAATTAAAACGAAATCACATTTCAACCGTAATTAAATATTAAATGTGTAATTTTGCAATTTTCATCCATTATAGCAAAGCTCAAGTTAACTAAACTGGTGGTTTTGAAGTGAAATAGTTGACGACACCCATTGTCGACACCTGTCAATTCTTTCGAACTCGGGCTAGCCAATCGGAGCGCAGTTGTCACAGTAATGATATGGCAGAATAGTTTTCAAACAAATTAAATGACATTTCGTGGTTATATACTCGATGGAATACGGTCAATATATATAGCATTGCGGGTGATGTACAGCAAATGTTTGGAAACTTCTGTTGTACAGTCACAAGGGTTCCCAATAAATAAACGTAAGTAAGTAATAAGTTATAAGAAAAAAAATCCCAAAAAGTTTTTATTTAAAGTCACGTATTTATAAGTCTAATTATGTATTTCGATAGACATATCAATATGAGAAAGTTTACATTTTGGTCATTAATTATTATTAAAATAAACTTAATAAATAAACAGTTACCATGATTATCATTAATACAAAGATCGAACAAACACAAAGTAATGTTCCATCGATCCGACTGGATTAGAACCAGCGTCTGTTGCCCTATCGTGGCTACCGCTCTTACTAACTGAGCTACAGATAGAGTCAGCAGATCTCACGAATTTGTCTGGGTTAAACGATTTTTTTGCTGTAGGCTTGTCCGACCTTTTTATCACATTATAACTTTAAAAAAAATCTCAAAAGTTCGTGGAATTACATCTATTTGCCAATTTTTACTGAAATCGATCTTCGGAAAGTGAGCGAAACCGGATTCATCCCCTAGTTTGCTACCCTTAGAGGTGGAATATTTTCTTCAAATTTGAATGGACTAATACAGAGGTACCTACCCTCTTTCCAACAAAAAAAAGAATCATCAAAATCTACTCAATCTATTGTAATTTAAACATTTCTATATAAGTTAGGTACCAAAATGATGTCCACCGTTTACTTAAGACAGCGAGAAAAATAGTGACGAGCTCGAAGGTTCAAGGGTTTGCACTGTGGGCGCAGGACGAGGAGGTTCCGGGTTCGATTCCCGATAACACCAATTTAGGAAATGAACTTTCCTGTATTGGTTCTGGTTTGGGTATGAATACCGTATAGTGCCTCGTACTCTTTCGAGGCCAGGTAATTGATATGGCTGTCTTTCACACCCATGGAAGAAAAAAAAACAATGAAAGTGTCATTTATGCCTCGATAACCTATCAGAATCGCTGTCGCCAAAACGCACACAAACAAATGATAAACACTATGAAATCTTGATAATAACTGGTCGTAATTATTATTGAAAAAGATGTATAGGTGTACCAGAATCTGATGGCACTTAGACAATTTTAAATTTATAGTGGGCAACATCAATATAATAGGAAAAAATGTGCTAGATACTTCATATATATTTTAATTGACCAGAATTGATCTAACCTCGTACATGTTTTAAGATCTGTTTGAATTTGTGTGTGAGAAAGGTAAGTAATTTCTGACACATATTAAAATTAAACAAAAATATATCAATTACATTGTGGGTGATAGATAGATTTATTTACGTTTGCATTTTGAAGTAACTCGCATTTACGCCATTTTTTTTACCACTCTGTAGTCTACACACTGTAGTCTTGCCGATCAGTACCAGCAAAAATTACATTGGTACTACATACATTGATTTGGCATCGTTAAAATTTCAAAGATCAAGTTTATTTACTCCTACTAAATCGCGAAATGTGACTTAAATGCACCTAATTCATCGCTGATTTTGCGATATAAACATTATTGCAATGTTTTTTGCTTGAGATTAGAGGGGATTCTCAGTAATTTTGCTACAAAATCGTTATTTTTCGGTGAAAAAAGTTTAGCAGACAGCTATTTGACACAAATAATATTTTGAATTGAGACGTGTGATAAGTTAACATTGCCTGGTGACAGTCGTTCGATTTTTCTAATATTTAATGCCATGAGATTCTGGTACATTTCTAACAATTTGTGGACTGTTAGTATAATTTAAACATTACCCAGTCGCTTTATCGTTGAAAATTCAATAGCTTTATTGCAAGCTACGATATTTTGCTTTTATATCATTGACCAATAAATGGATGTCGGATTCGCGCTAAAAAATGTGCGCACCTGTAGGGCGTTAAAATCGCATACAGAGCGTCAATCGCGCAACAGTCTTCGTTTGTTCGACTAACAGCGCGGTTGTCAATCATGCAGTACTATATAATAATAACTTGTAAAAATTACTGCAGTAAAGTGTAAAAACAGGATTTTGTATCATATTGTCACTAAACAAATATATTGTGTTATCATAGTTCTCATTTAAAAGTGTTATTTTGTACAACTTTATAGTATTTAATTTAATTTATATATAAATGAATCGTGGGTATAAATTACAAAAGCACACAAAATAATCAAATAGCTAACTGTCCTTTTTCTACACATTGCATGCGCAAACAATGGAAAGAGACCCATTATGTTAATTTCAAGAAGCTTATATAAACTTCTTGGTCATTTTCAATTGTTCGAACCAAAAGCGATTGAAATATTTAGAACAAAGAAACTATAGAGTCTCTTTGATTTTAATCTTATTTTTAAAATGATTTTTTTATTAAACGTTAGTAATAACTAACAAAATATTATTGTACTCGTTTTACGTCTTGGGATTGCCTATCAGAAGTCAGAAACTACATTTGCCCGAAATAACGTTAGTTCGAATTTTCATAATGTCAAATGTATTTTTTTAGAAAGATTACAAAACAAAAGCTAATTTTGCCTTAGTGAAAAGCATCGAAATTACTCGAAAGCGTAATGGTTTTATTATAAATCGGTTTTCGAAATTACTTAATTATTAATTTAGTTGGAATATCGGTACATTTCTTATAGTACACGCTTATTTTCACATTTGTAGTAATATTGGTATGTATGTATCTGCCCAACTCTTTATTATTTCTTTAAGTGAATTTGCTCAAAATCGACATAATAATATATATATATATAAATAAATTAATATTTAGGATAAAGGATACTCCATTACTCTTGTGTTCACGCAATTTTCAGTCGAAGCTAAACAAGGTGCGTTTTGTTAAGTTTCCAGTAGAAGCTGAATATGGTGTTTTCGGGCCCTTCAATTGTTGTAAGCAAAATTAGGCAGTGACTGCAATGACGTTACAATTTAAATTAAATGTTTTAGTTTTTTATATTTCGTTACATGTCACTACGTTTGTATAGGTTAACTTCGGACATTTTTTTTCGTGCTTTTTGTATTAGACCCGACGTCCATTTGTTGGTAGGTCAATGTTTTATATTGAAATTTATGGTCGACGTGCTGCCATCTTGCGCCCAGTAGCTGGACTACGACGAACGACTAACATCTGAACGAATAGAAAGTAGTATCTTCTCTACTACAGATGTCTTCTGTAGTGAAATAGGTCGTTATTTTACGGCATTACTACGTTCACACCATATCCTCATTGATAGTTTGTTCAGATTAGAAGAGTGCGCTTGAAAAATCAGAAATAAGAATAAATTGAAAAATATGTTATTCCTGTTTGTTATCAGTAACGTACCTTACGTAGCAGCTTTTTTTGTTTGTGTGTGTTTATAGCAGCGATTTTATGCATTTGTTCAAAAAGTATGCATTCTCAACTACACATAACCATAACGTAAAATCAACAACAGTAAATGATACATATCATTTAACAATTATAATCAAGAGAATGCTACCTTGTTAGCTAAATTCCAGAGCAGCTAGGCGAAAGCTAATTGGGGACGAATTCTCACCGCTTGGTGGTCTATTCTGTATCTGTAGATTAATGATTACCGGTATTGTTCTGCCGTGGTTGTGTTCGTGGAAATCCTTGCTGTAGTAGTGACGTCACGCTCAACGAGCCGCGGAGTTGAGTTGAATTTCAAATCGCTCGTTGAAGTCGTCGATGTTTTTTCACGCGTCTTAAATAGACCGGAACTAGACCTGTTGAAGCGCGCGTAAGTCGTGCCGGTCCCATTGGAAGCGCATGCGCTGTCTGTATGAGCGTTTTCAACATACAGGTCGAATGAACAACTAACCATTGCGCGTCTTATAGACTAGTATAAGTTTAGAGCTTTCTTTATGAGAACATACGTATTAAGCTTATGATTTACAAAACAAAATTATTCTAAATGGCATAATTAATGTAACATTTCTGAAATGTGGGAATATATCATCCCTGGAAAGGGAAAAGTACTAAAGCGCCATTTTGGTCTTTTGGAAGTTAGTAATTTCGCCTTTTCAGTGACGATATTTAGAAATTAAATTAATAATAATAATGTGGCCTAGTCTCAAAGTAGGGAATTCCCTGTACTATGAGTACCAGAGCAACGCAATACACTCTGGGGCATTTCCCAGGACACCCGGACCGGAACTAATTTAAAAGAAAAACCGGGACGTCGTCGTACAGCGCTCATAGTAAAAACCGTTTGGCCACCGAGGTCGTCATGTATTGTTTTTTACTTCCAAACTATGAGAAAAGTCATTAAAAACTTGCTTAACGCCTTGGACAGTTCTTATTGTTAGCGACATATAGTTGAATTAGAATAGAATAGAAACCATCTATTATAACACCACTACACAGGAATACACAGAAAGAAAGAATATAAAAAGACAGAGAAAAAGTAAAACAGTAAGTAAAATTACAAAAAAAAAAACAAATGAAGCAAAACATATCAAATTTTAAATGGTCAATTCACAGTTTTTCATAATTGATAAATGTCATGTGTGCAGCTGTGGCGTTTGTTAGAGGATCCACTTAGCTATCACAGCCGAGTGAAGATTTATTTAGCGTACAAAGAGTATTTTCAGTGGACCCTAATTCAAATATTACGTTTCAATGACGTGCTTTCGTCAAGCTCTGTAGCACAACACATTTACAATTTATTCGCAAACCGTAGCAGCAGTATACCCCAAGCCATATCACTCTTGACGCACGTCTAATTATAGTGCGCTCCCGCAAAATTATTAGATATAAAACAGTGTTAATGCAATTCGTTTAATTTTCATATCAGATAGTTAGACATCACGTAGAAAGTTTACTGGCTTTTTGTTACATGTGGATGAAAGTGTAGAGATATTTGGATAAAAATAATATATCTGTAAAAATGTTCTAGATAATATCTCCACAAATGTAAAAGTACATGCATTTGTACGTTAACACTGTACGGTTAGCTTACGATGTGTTCGAAATCGATTTCTTTGCCTTGAATGTGTTTCGTGGTGTCGATAATTTGTGTTATAGACGTATATTCTACGTATATTCTTTAATATAGACGTATACGTATATATAAAAGACTAAGGGCGCGTTCAAATTAACCGCTGTTAGACGCGCTGCAGCGCAGAATTGAGGAAGTTATAGAGAAAGTAAAACAACACCCTGCAATATGGGATAGCAGTTCCGCCAGTTATTCCAATCGACTGGATAAAAAAAGGCACGGGAAAATTTATGTCTAAAATTTATTGACAATTTTGAAGCTAACATTACAACTGATATAAACATAGCCGGTGAGTCATTTTTAATACCTATATGTGAAGTGTGTGCCCCAAGAACTAGGTAAAAGTAATGTTTCTCCGTCAGAATCCATCGCGCAACTGAGTCGAATGATAAAACATCACTAAAAATTTGGTCGCACTTCAGCACGGTCGCGCTGCCGCCGTGCGGCTGCATCGCTTCTAACAGCGGCTAATTTGAACGCGCTATAAGGGCTACTTTTCCGATGTTTTCCTTCAAATGCCTAAATCATATATCTTTCTTATTATTGACACAAATACGAAGAAACAAAAAGAATAATTATTTCTATTTGATTGGTCCCGAAACAGTGTCTGTTGCCTCACTGAGGCTACCGCTCTTACAGTCTGAGCTACATACAGACTAAGTCAGCAGATCTTTGTATTCGGTTTAAACGAGTTTTTTTTGTCGTAGCGCCACCTCTGATATACTTATGAAAGTTTCTTCGCTCAGTCTTCACAGTCGCTAAACACGGACAAGAGATGTCGCTCTATTAAATATTTGCAACAATGATTATTATACTTGTAAACAATAGATGAGCAATCTGCGCCTTCGAACGGTACCCACGGCACTGTTGCCTGCAGGCAACAGTGACGTCAGTCACCATCTTGAATTCGAGTGAGTGCAACGTCACCGAGACGTGATAAAAAAGTATCAAAAACGGTGAAATATGTAATTAAAATTTGCAATTCACGGTTCGAAAATGATCATACAACTACTGAGGTTACTTTCCACATGTAAGTTTGCTTTTGTTTGTTTAGATTGCCGTAAATAAAAATTAAAATGAAATAAATTTATTTCAAACATCAATGTTGCCAGTAAATCAATTTTCATTTGCCCATAATATTGGGAGTTAACCTTTTTGAAGTTACTAGTTCAAATTTATTCGTTGTAACGTTTAGCGTGAAGTATAACCGTAATACTATTAATACGTAATACTATTAAAAATGATATTTGGTTTGTTTCCTAGAATACCCAAAGATCGAGCGCGCAGGGCGGAGTGGATAAAAATTATACGACTTTTACGAAAAGATACTTTGAGTAACAAAACACAAGGCAATTAATTGTACAACAAGCTAATGATGCACAGTGGCGTATAATAATTTGTAATAAACTATAGTTAATAGTTTGTGTATCGAGTAATTTGTAATATCTACCCTATTATAAATATGTTTTCGTTAAATAGAAACAGAAACTTTGTCGGAAGACAGTATTTTTATCAAGTTTATCCAGTAAATAAAAAGTACTAGAAAAGCAATGAATTCCTTAGATTAGAAAGTCATCTCTTCATATTTACAATTTATTTGAAATAACTATGAATTCCAAGCGTGGACCCTTAAATTCATACATTTTCATGTATATTTCACTCACTCGTTCATTCCATTTCTGATTAGGCACTATCTATCTCCACTGTCTCTTTCCACCGGTGAGACTACAAGAAATTAGGGAAAATTATTTCTAAACCGGTAACACTGGTCGTGCACTATGACTATTTCATTTTGACATAATAAGTTTGACATTAGAAAAAACGGGACAAATATATTTTTCTTTGAAATTTTCTTCAGTTTCAAAGGTAGTCTTTAAATTTGCAAAGTGGTCCCATATTTTAGACAACTGCTTGTGTCTAGTATTATTTATGCTCACTGATTTGCAATATTTAATCTAGTGAACATCTTGATGTTTTTATATTCTTTCTTCCCAGATCGAAGACGACGCCTACCAAGAAGATTTAGGCTACACGCGAGGCACAATCGGCAAATCCAGCACAGGGCGTGTTCGACTACCTCAAATAGACGAAAAGACCAAAGTGCGAATCAGTAAGACGTTGCAGAAGAATCTGCAGAAGCAAAATCAGCAGTACGGTGGAGCTACCAGTATTAGACGACAGGTGTCAGGGACTGCGTCTTCTGTGGCATTCACACCATTGCAGGTGAGAAATTTGTTCATTTTCCTCTTGGTAAAGCATGAACTACATCTATGCCGTAGCAATGGATTTTTGGTGGAGTGGGTCAGGGTAAACCGGCTGTCTACCAGCTGACGCACAATGAGATGATAGTACATTTTTCTGGAGTTGGCTTGACGACTTTTCTGCTTATAGGCTACCTATTAACATCTAGTGTGTGCGTGTGTGCGTTATTAACATCATATGGGGCTCATTCCAAGAGCGCATTTTAGTTAGTTCTATTTATCAATACTAAGATTTTTCGATTTATATTCTGAGCATATATAAACAGTATTTTCATTGTAATACATAGGTAAAAAAACTAGAATGTCACTTCGTAGCGATCATTATGCTTTGATAGGTGTATTCAATAAATATTGAAACAGAAGTGTTCTGTTTTTTTATATGCATAGGTGGCTTTACATACACATTTTAAAACAGCATTTGTGACTTAGAACGTAGGTCAAAACATAAGAGATCCATTATCGTGGCGATCATAATATTTCGAGAGAGGTATACTGAGAATGTCTCTAGGTTCCGTAATATATATATTTAAATAGTGTTAGTTTTTTAAGCAGTAGCCGTGGTAACTTAACGGTTTGCCCTACCGCTTCTCAAGCATAGGCCGTGAGTTCGGATCCGGACTCGCACCTCTGAAATTCTCGACTTTTATCTCCGAAATTTACCTTGACATTTCGCTGAAGTAAAACATCGTGATGAAACCTGCTCGTTGAAGAAAGTTCATTACCGTCGAAAAACGTGTGAAGTCCCCGCATTGGGCCCAACCCTCGCCTGAGAGTAGACCCGTGCCCAACAGTGGGCCGTATAAATGGATTGATGATGATTAGTTTCTTTATTATTACAAATTGATGCCTTACTTTCTCATACTCGTAACTCATAAAGGCTCAACTCAAACTGGCGCAGAGTCGAAGCGTCACGACGCGTCATTTTTTTCGCTTATAGCATATTCATCTCTATTTTCCCATTATTAACCACTCGACTACGCGAAGTAAAAGTCAGTGTGTGAATATGAAGGAAATATGATGTGCAATTTGTATATACATTTTATGTATTTCAGTAACTTTGTGTTTTACACGAGTTATAGAAAGGAAGGCGACGAAATTACTAAACTTTAAACTGTCGTATCGTGGTCGGTCTGCGATCGAAAATGTTTCGATAGTAAATAGTCCTTGCGAAAGTGCCTCTAGGCTTTGCATATACATTTTAAACAGCGTTCAATATGCTTTCCAACGTCAATACATTGGACGTAGATAAGAACTCAAACATGTCGTATTGTGATGATAATCATTGTCAAGCGCAGTGTTTTGATAGAGGTACATTCAGTCATTTCAAAAGACCTGTATCGTATAATGTTAGTTCATTAATTATGTAAACAGAACAAATGCTCTAAGATCATAACCCACACAGTTACTTTTGTCATTCTTGCTTAATGTCCATAACCTTCGCTCTAAGTACAGAGACAAACACTACAATAAGATTTATCACGAGGTTACTAGATTAATAATCATTCGCGTATTATTGTAAACAATTTACTAGCAGTTATGGATGTTTTATATAGGTATCACAATGTAAAAGGCCCGATTTGACAGTTAAGAAAGTCGATGGAATGTAACTTTGAATGAAATCACCGAAATAGAAAAACTAATACAAATAATTATGAACTTATTACGTTTTTTAAAAAATGCATTATTTATTTATTTCTTTATTTATTGAAACACACACCACCAACTTAACACAAAGCAATTTTCGAAAATAATACACATACGTTCACCATGCGAAGTCGTCATAGCTGTACACATCACTAAATGTTTTGAGTTAACTAATGAAATACATAAAATAATAATATAAAATTACTGCAATAATTAATTGGACATAGTTATGCAAATAAGAACCAACCCACACCTCGAGTGAAATTGAGTTATGTATGTAGGTAGAACACCAGACGTGTCCTTTACCCGCTCACAAAAGATCCTGGCAATATACCAAGCCAAAACGGAGAAAATAAAAGTCCTTCAGGGTACCAACCCTAAATACGTAACTTTTTAATAGTTAAAAAGAACCATGCTGGTTAACTTCATATAATGTATTTTTTTAAATATGCTAAATGGATCCATGTCACATGTACTGAAGTACTGTAGATCTTTAGCGTTTTCATTACAAAAACTAGAACATGGTTCTCGTTAACTAAATAAAAATGTTTTCTATTTATTGCTATATAATAGTTTCCCTATATCATTCTTAATGCTACACATAACTAGCGTTGTTTGTCTGAAATAACTTACCTATATATTTCTTCACACTGTTTTTAGAAAAGTCTAATTATCTCGAAAGTTACATTTTGTGGATTGGTTCTAGTTTGCATAACTATGCCCAATTATAAGAGATGCGAAGGTCAAAAAAATTGCTTGCTCGTACGATCTGTTTAGTGTTTTTGGTATGAAGACTGTCTCTGGTTATTATCAAGTCATCTGTCAATCTGTTTAAGGGGGCATACCTTCGAAGATTAGTTCGGCTACTAGACGAAACATATGCTTTGACTTTACTTTTTTGGCGCATTATTTGATAAGACTAATAATAATAACTATAGTTACAAAAATTAACAACGCAAAAATAATTCCCTATTCTATTTGTACCAAAGCAACGATATTAAATCCGGGGCATTACCCAAAACAACAAGAACCAAGTTAAATCCTCCTATTCCTGCTAGGAATCGAACCCGGTTTCATATTAGGTTGATAGTGCAATGAGGTAGATAGGATGTCATCTGGTTAGCGACGTATAGTGCAACAGGAACACTCTTAGATAGTGTGTTTATTCCTTCATGGTGCAAATGGCAGTTAATGAATAATTGAATTATAATATAAAGAACCTCTTCGTCTGACTGTGTACGCTAGATGAAGAGGTAATCCTCAGTGTAATCTTCTCTACAAATATGCGTAAAACTGCCTGTTTGTTTTAAACAGCAAAAAACTGTGTCGATGTACCCGGTCCAGCTAGCTGCTACAATGTCGCCGTCATGCTGTAATCATGTATGCGTTCTCTCACGTATTCGCAATACAAGACATTATAGTACAAGACATAATAGGACATAATGTCTTATGTAGATGCTAGTATTTCGTGCGATCATCCCATTAAAATCTATTATTAAGGATTTTTTGCTTATCTTATTCACTGTTCGAAACTTGACTATGCTATTGTTAGAGCTAACGAGTAAACAATGGGGTAATTGGTCAACCTGGAAGAATAAAAAAAATAAACATGGTATTGGAGTATCTAGTTATATTATCTCAAGTCGTTACGAATCATTTGCTAGTTTATGTTGTTTAACGTTTAAGTAAGGCAACTACTTGTCGAAGAAGATTGAACAGAAGTGTGAAACCTCTGACCAGTTTTTGACAGTGAGTTGAATAATAGCCTAGTCCTCACATTAGAAGAAACCCGTACCCAATAATGGAACATAATATAATGTAAATATGTGTCAAACCACGCCAATTACCTGATCTCAATTTAGAGAATTCCCGATACTGTGACTAATAAAACTTCAAATCACTGACTAGAACTTCCAAACCAGACCAATTTAGAATAGTTTCTAAATTGGTTCTACCGAGAATCGAACCCGCGACTTTACTGGGTGAGCCACTGAGGTTGTCTTATTTGACACAGGTATAAGCAGTCATAACCAATGATCGGAAAAAGTTGTTCCACATATATAGATACGTGTATAGGTATAGCTACAAGGAGCGACATAGAGTTGTGAAAACACCAAATATTAATTAATTACTTTTTCGATTTCCGGACTTTCGAAAGTGGTTTTACTGCAACGTAATGAAATGAAATGAAATTTTATTTGCTTAAAACATGGTGTGAAAGATGGAACAATTATTACAGAACATATGTTTTACCTGATTAGGCATGCAAAATGTTGCTTAAATTTACTTTAATTATAGCATTGTCATCGGACGTGTACAAGGAATAATAATAATAATCAATTAATTAATTAATAACAACAGAATAATAAACTGTTAATGTCAAATTATTAAACATCATTCATCATGATTACATTAAATATACATATACCTTATAATTTCATAATTTCGTAAGACAAAACTACTGACCTAGGAAGTCGAAGTTGTATTTTAAAGTAATTCTAATGGTGCCATGTAAGAAAATGCAGTATATACCTGTTCTTTTAACAAAGTAGAGAATAAAAAAGTAACGAGAATGGTCACTCTCCCCCCACCCCCTTAGAATTAGTTTAAAATCCAACTTCGACTTCCTAGGTCAGTAGTTTGTCCTACGATGCAGTAAAACCATTTCCGGAAATTCAACAACTCTTATGTCGCTCCTTGTAGCTATGTCTATACATGTATCTATATACGTGGAACACCTTTTTCCGACCTATGGTCATAACAAATGCTTTTTCTTCGAAATTATGTACGTATGTGTTACCGTTTTGTAAATTTGCAATGGGACGACGGCAGCCTGTTTACAGTCAACTATGGCACAGAATGTTTCAGACAGAGAATTTAAAACCAGAATTTCGTAAATCTACACTCGCGTTTCTCGAACCTAGCGGATTATGATTATAGGTCGTTGTCTCTGTAAACATGTCTTTCGAGATAACACATTCCGGTTTAAGTATAATGTTGGAGTTTATTCAAAAAGCATAATACAAGGGTATAGGTTAATATTTAACTGATGGAACATGTAATACACGTGTGTGTTGGTGCTAACATTCTTATAAGGTACGTCTACACAGTCTTATGTTCAAGCGAAAACGGTCACTGCTACAAAAAGTTTTTTACAACTTCAACACTACATTCTTCTAATAAAAAAGTATAATTTTATTTGTGATGAGAATTCCTACTTGATATAAAAAAAAATTTAACCTACATCGCTAAATTTTCTTATAACACATTTCATGTAACATTCGAAAAATTATGATCTTATTAATTAAAATATAGATT